ACCTTTCTCAAACAATTCATACATTTCCTCAACTGAGTTATAAATTGTGTAATTAAGAACATTAGAGCTTAGTCATCTGAGACCCTTGATGTATTGTTAGAGGTTGAATAACTACATGGAAATACCCTTTAATGAGGTAGCCTGAATTTGAAATAGGATCACCATCTCGTTTTATCAAAAACTCGGTAGGTTTCATGTAATTTATCTCCAAAATGGTCAATTTTTTTTACCGTGAAGAGGTCCTATATTCCAAAAGGTAATCACTGTAGTTCACGGGGGCCATCATAGGGTTGAGAGATGAATTCGATTTGGAAGTTATTTTTGTTCCAAGAAAAAGGATGGTATCCCATAATTTTCTCAAATTTTAGGGAAACAGCAGCTCTTATTTTAAGCGTGGGCATCCAGTTCCATCTGAAATCGGCACAGAAATAGGGCCTAAACAATTAATATGCCCAGTTTTTATTTTTTCATGGGAGAAGTGTTCTTAGTGTTCTTAGAAGTATTCTTTGTTCTTAGTGATCGTACTGGGCGGTGGGGGGGGGGGGGGGGGGGGGGGGGAATAATTGTTTAGGACCTATTTCTGTGCCGATTTCAGATGGAACTGGATGCCCACGCTTAAAATAAGAGCTGCTGTTTCCCTAAAATTTGAGAAAATTATGGGATACCATCCTTTTTCTTGGAACAAAAAATTAAGTAACAAGTTAAAAACAAACAGAAATGCTGAAGGAAACCAAAAAGATTCAGCTTTTACAGTTTTGCAAATGCAAGTCTCTCTCCACAACAATCTTGTCCATATACAACGATTTATCTGTATACAGTACTGTATAACGTATTTATTGTTTTTGTCCCATTGGCTTCTCTTCCCATTTTATAGGGATTCTCTACAACGATTTTTTTTTCTGCTCCCTTGAATTTCGTTGAGGAGCGATTTCCCCTGCATGCTCAAAATCCAGCAAAATCGCCACATAAATGCAAAAAATTGGGAATGAAACTTGACAAATGGTCAAGTCATCATACCTCTAAAAAACAATGTCGTAATGACATTCACCACATTTTTGTTTCAGCCAACAATTTTCGAATACACAGTGAACGAGAGAATAAATGGAATCTTTTTCACTTCGAGGCGAATTCCTTCAATGATGGTATCAAAGAAGTGTCATCATATTTCTGCATAAAGAGTAATATTGTGCGTGTGTCGGCTAGTCGCTAGTGGAAAGAAAACGGAGGACTGTATTCAATTCTTTCAACCAGACGAAAAACATTCCAGACTTATCTGATTAATCTCAAAGCTCTTTGCGTTTCCATTTGAAAAAGACGAGCACCGAGTTATGATGGAAAATCTTTAAAAATTGAAGTTGTTCTTTAAAAGAAAATGTGCGCCGATAACATACGCGAATATAGCAAATATTTTTTCAATGCACGAGTCGAACAACTTTTAAATAGGAAACCATGAATTTTTTCTGAATAAAATCACACGTTTTGCCTTTCGAAGCAACCATCAACGTCAAAGTATAGAACCCATTCATCCGGCAAGGCGACGACCGAAGCGCTGACATGTGGGTCAGGTCAACACTCACAATCACGGTCTAGAGGCGTGATGCGAGGATTTCCTCACGGAGTTTTCTAGATCAAGAGAATAACCTCATTACAAACGGACTTTTACAGTAGGCTCGGGACCAAAAATTTCGTTTCCGGTTTCCCACGTAAATTTACCGGGCAATAAGCGTAAAACAGTGGGCCGGGAAAACTCCTGCGACGACGCAATCATCAGCGAAATTCTCACGTCAAGAAATGGCTTCTTGAAACCATTTCGTCCCAAGCGTTCAACAACCCAAATTCTTCGCATTAATCTCGCAACGCAGAATAGAGGAACCGGGTTCTCCGAAATAACTCAACTACTCAAGCATACAAAATCGAGCATTTAAACTTTTTAAAGCATTCACAGCGGTGGCTATACGTCCTATTCAGTTTAGAAGAGAACAAATTGAACTTACTATTTTCGACGTATTTTTTCTTCATGCCAGCAATTGAAAATAAGCAGCATGACGAGAATTATGGAGGTCACCACCATAAATTCTCTGAGCTTTCTTCGACAATCATACTAAGTACAGTATAATTTCGTTACAACAGGGCGTCTGGGATTTGAAATGGTTCCTTATAAAAGAAAATTCGTTGGAACGAAAATTAAGATAGCATTGTGGCTATTGGACAGGGACCGAACCAACAAATTCGTTGTACAGAGATTGAATCCACACCACAACCAAGACCATTTAAATTTAATATTTAAAAGGAAGATCCGGAAAACCTGGTTGATGGAAAAATGATGAGTCCTCAATCCGAAGTTTTTTCCCACAGATTAAAACTTGCTTAGAGAAAAAAAAAGTGTACATCATTAAAAAATAAATAAATTGAAACCGGAAGATAATAAACGTGACCATAACTCCGTAGAAGTTCGAAATAATGCGGTGGGATCCTTATCTTACAATTTCCCACCTCGTTCATTACGACGGATTGGTTTGATGTGGGTGATGGATACTTTTCAAATTACAACTGTGTTCATGTTCCCTTCTACATAATTTTACCCTGCATCTATCCAATTTCTAAAATAAAATAAATGCTTGGTTCCTCATTGGTAATGCATTAGCATCATGAAGCAGATATGATATAGATTAATCTTTTTGACTGCAGCAGGACGGAAACAACTGCAGGCGATTGTCAAACGCGTCACGAAATACTGTATTCAACTTCTTCATACATTCCGAGTTCTTCACAGCAATTTTAACACCTGAGCAGCGTCCACATTACGTAGGATTAAAAAATGTTTTCGAAGAGCTTCGCCAACGATGTAAAACTTCAGGGAATACAGTATACCGTTCTGTAATAAACCTAGAGAAAAGCGAGTTCAAGTAGGAACACACTTGGTGTAGCATCGAGCCAACCGAGAGAAAGTCACACGCGGGAAATGGAACAAGCTAGCATCCCTCAGCCCGTTTTTAACCAAATGATATTCTGACAGAACCGACAAAGACCTCTCAGAAGGTTTCAGAATAAAATAACATTAATAAAATAAAGGAACGAAAGCGAACCGAAATTCGCACTGGACTTCGTTCAAGAGAGAAAAGATAACGACCGGAACATGATTTTTCTTCTCACCGGAAGATTTTTTCCGCTCCAAGCGATAAACCCAACGACCGTGATGAATGAAAAGATAGCTCGAGAACCAGAACAAGAAGAGCCAATACAAACCACCAGAAATGCTATCAATCAAAAATCATCCGTCACGCTGCCATCCCAGAAGTTCAAACACCGTTCAAGAAGCGGGAAATACACAACACCGCGATTATTAATATTTTTTTGACTGGAGAGAACTCTTCGATGCATATTAGGTATCGCAAAACTCAGAACAGTGCATCACAGATTGGCTGATTTCCCATCATGTACACTTCAAGCTCAGAGAAAATCAAATCGCTCATCTTCTATGAATCGAATGCATTTCGAGTCATTAATCAAGTTTATATGGTGCATATAAGTGTGAATTTGTATAAATTTTCCGTGATCGGCCGTCGGTAATAGTTGAAGATGTCTTTAAAGATACCTCGAGCTAGTCTTGAGCTGTGTCAGATGGACTGCATTTACGGTATTTACGCGAATATAAATCCCCTTTTCTTCCAATTTTATAAGCTCAAAAACAAGCGGGGTGCTTATATTCGCATACTCATGGAATTCGCGTAAATATGCGTCTTCAATAGAAAATCTTCCTGTTCTGGGCTCATAAAATGATCCAACAATTTCTTTCTTCAGTCCCGAAAGAACAGAAGAAGAATCGAGCGATTCCTTTCTTCAGTTCCAAGAGAGCTGAAGAAAGAAATTGCTCCATCATAAAAGTAATCAAGAAATTGTCAGCTTTTAGCACTTCAATACACATAATACAATACTGTAACAATGATTAAAATAATCAAAAGATGCATGGGTCATTGACTCAAGGGGAAGAGGAGGGGTTGCATGACATAGTTTTTCCCTTTCTGAGGAAGTTTTTAATGGAATTTTAATTTTGCGCATGAAAACTCTAGGTGGTTCCTTATATTTTATGCCTGAATACGGTAATTCAGCTCGGGATTGCTCAAGTTAATCATGGTCAGTTTGCTGAAGCGACACCTACCAGACGTTCAAGTAAGCAAGGGAAGCATTCGTAGTACGAATAACCAACAGTAAACTAATTCGATGAACCATTCTATTCGACAGATCAAGGAGTGTGGAGAATATAATTTTGATGGCAGCGTTTAATTCTTTGAGTAAACGAGAACCAAACCTTCCAAAAGAGAGACGCAGTGACCAGTTCTCGAGAATGTATTATACCGAGTAGTTGACTTTCACCACGGACATCGGGCAAGACGAACCTCAAAATATTGCGCACGGCGTTGATGAAATAAATACTTTCGAAAGAAATATCCCACATGAATATGCTTCGTGAGTCAACTTCGAATTTCAGTTCCAAATCAAAGACTAACAGTTTGTTTCAAAGAAACCGGAGTTACTCAAAAAAATTGGATTAAAAATGAGAAAAAGGACATTCTTCCGCTCAGAAACATAATCGTGTACAATCCTAGAACACCGCAGCTCGTTTCCCGGGATCAACGTGATTGTTCCAGCCATGGAAACTGGATCATGGTAACATATACCAGCGACTGATGTGCGTGAAATCCACTTTCACACAAGCTCCCCTAATTAAAGCAATAAAAATCGCTTCGAAAAAGATAGGATGAGACGAGCAACTATACAGCAATACTTCGCTAGGTACAGTTTACCCTAAAATATGTTGGATTGTATGTTTTTTCCGAGTTTTCGAGTGAACGTAATCACCGGAAAATCATCCGTCCGAGAACTTACAAGCAAAATCCATAGCGTAGCGGGAACTGGATATGAATTAGCCTTGGACTTCATTGTTCCCGTCACGCTCGAACGTATAACACGCACTTTGGAAAAAAAGAAAACTGCGCAAGTGTAAATATAAAAACTCACCAAGTTAATTTATTGAACAGGTTTCCCGGAACGCGCGAAACAAACGACAATTGATTTGCCCTTTAGCGAAAATCCGTTCGTTTCTCTCCGGGCTGTTTCAGCAGTTTCAACGCTCGGCATGCTCACAAACGCCTGACCTTTCATTCTACCTTCTTTCAAAACTTTCAGGTCAAACCTGACAATAAAAAGGGGTATAATGAATGAAAATCACAAGAACGTCTTCAAAATAAGAACACAGAAAGTAGTAATTACCTCGCGGCCTCTTCGGCGTTTGACCAGTCCACGTACGCTCCGAAGACTTTCCGAACGTCTTCTTCCGTGCAGTTTTTCGGCAAATTTTTTATATACAGTCGAGATACTGGATCACCAGGCACATAATTTTTGAACGGAGCCAATTGAGAAAAATCTGAAAGAATATAAGGAGAGTTGACTTTACAATCCTTGCTCAACACTTTAGTTCTCCGCTGTGAAATCCGCAGAAGAAATCGGTAGAAATCTCGGACATGAAAAACGCGAATCGAGACACACATTCTTCCAGAGAATTTCACATTCTTCCAGTTTTAACGCCACATGTCGAATTTTGAAGTTTGACAGGCAATAATCATCAGAATACACCCAATTGAACTGAACTAAAGTACAGCTGAGTAACCAAAAGAACCCACCTACGATAACCAGAACGGAGGGAAATTACAGAAAAACACGAAGGAAGTGGAAAAAAAATAACTTTCGCATAATCGTATGTGTGTCTTGACAATAGCTGAATACAAACGCACCTTTCTCGGCAATTCGATTCTTCAAAATATATTTTCTGGTGAAAAATTCGTCACTTCCAGACTCATCCTTTCCTGAATTTCCGAAAGAACCAAACCCTTCAGCGTCTTGATCTTCATTCGCATGCGAATTTATGTCACTTCCAGCATCAGGAAGCCGTAAATTCGTAGTAACAAAGATTTCCGTTTTAGCTCTCTTCACGGAATCGAACAGCGTTTCCGCCGGAACACTTTTCCGCTTGCCAGGATTTGGCATTTCCACAGCAGTTTCAGTTTGACGCAGTTCTGCTTTCAGAAGATTTTTTACTCGTTTACGACGAGATGAAGTCGTTGACTTGCTTGAACGCTTGGGAAGCGCACTCGGAATGACGTGTGGTGTATACGCTTCACCAGGTTCATCTTCTAGTTCACTTTCTTCATCGGATCCTGATGAAACATCCATTTCATCCCCTTCCGTTTGAGGCAAGGTTTGTTGAAGAGGCTCCAGATCAACTTCACTGCAACAAATCACAAAATAAACTAATGTTACTGAATGCTCTGGCAGAACGCAACAGAAATCGTTCGAAGAAACGCACCAAATTTTGAAAACACCGTCGTCAAACAGGTCATGACCTATTTCAGATGGATTCGGAAAACCAAGCTTCCTCATCAAAGCAAGAACCTGAAAAAGATAATGAAACAAAAACCAGTGAGAAAAAATTGAGTTTTGAACCAAAAATGATCCACAGAAATATTTTAAGGTAAATAATTACTTACAGCGCGATAAAACCTTTCATGTTTTGCAATCGCATTTGCGATTCGCAGCAACATAACTTTGGATAACTGTGGAACACACTCGTTCGCATCGACGTCCAATTCACACATTTGAATGCAGGGAATTTCTCCTTGGACCACATCTTTTGCGACTTCATTTCCACTGTTCTCACTTTGAACGGTGTCACTGAAAATAATAAATGTAACATAACATTCTATTGACATAACTACGATGAAGACGAGACACAGTGCAGCCAATGAATAAAATGTGTCTCCAAATGTTTGTCTCAAATTATACAGGTCTCAGAATGTCCATGTCTCGAATTGTCAGCCTTGATTGCCCATCCTCGGACTGTCCGTATCCCTCTCTGATATGCAATTTTTTTTAAGATGAATTAAAGTAACTTATCCATTCAGTCCTTTGGCTTCATGCGACGATATGCAATGACATTTCAAATATTTAGTTAGAAAACACGTCAGTTAAAACCAAAATTTCCCACCGAACCGGATTCACTAACTAGAAAAATGGGTTTAAATGTTTTTCATCAAATAAATCAAAAATGTCCGAAATAATGGTGAACAAAAGTTTCCCGCGTTTCATTAGAACCAACAGAAAACTTTCGAAAGCCCGTCGCAAATACTTAACGCCGAAATATTGATACTGACTTTCATAATCTTCACACAAAAATTGAAAAACTGTACAAATATTTACACAGGTTAAAGGTCGGAACTTTTTTCCCCCAAGTCATAAAGTATCACGGATACTCAATATAATGTAAAGAAATACATTAAAATAGCACAAAAGTAAATTTTAAAACGATCTCACTCAGTCAAATAATAAAGTCGACTGCCACAAAGCTCTTCGAGTGATGAAGAGTAGGCGAAGAAATTAGCTCAAGTTGAAATTAGGAGGAATGTAAGATTCGCATCCTGTTCGAGACGTGACGCGGACCAGGTCATTCAAAACTCGGATGAGCGAAGTTCTTCTTCAATGCACGGGATTCTTTCAGCGCTGACAAAATTGGAAAAACTCACCTCGGGCTGGCGAAAACTGCTCTCAATCTTCGACCTCCAATGAACTGTTGGTGCAGTCGAAGTAGAGACACGATAGTTTCAGCTTCGGATCTGAAGTCAGCAAGGGCTTCCAACTGCCCCCGTCTAGTCCATGTTTTAACCGAGACGGCGCCAAAATATTTCAGTAAATTAACAGCATCTTCGGCAGTGAAAATATTCGGGAAATTACGTATCATCAGCGCCGACTGAACGCGACACTCGGCCATTCAAAATTCCCCTTTCCCCTCGAAAGAAGGAAAAAACCATGAAATACACTGCTGAAAATTCTGAATTAACCCTGACGAATAATTGAAAAATAATGTCACGGGTAGTTAATGTGTAACTAAAATGCATTCTTTGTTGCAATCAAAATCATCACAAGCTCGACAACATCGCCCGTAATCGCCGCTCTTTCGTTTTCGATCGTGAAACCCGTTCTTTTATCGTTTTCCGATTCACATTCGAGCCGGAAGCGTCATCTGAAGGATCGCGACTCACGGGACGGACTCGCTTAGATCCCAGACCTTTACGATCACGCTTCATAGATGCTCTGATGGGTTCTTTCCGACCCGATTCATCTTTTCCTAGACCCGATCTTTTGTTCCATCCGGACCTGGTAATAATGATACTTCCTCGTAAAATTAGAAAATAAAAACCCATCATCGAACGAATAAATTCTTCAAGAGACGTACAGCGCATATTCCCGCAAAATTACATGAAAGACGACAGCAAAATTACGGCACGAATTTTATCATTCGTAAGAAAAGTAAGTTTGCGGGAATATACGTTGTATTCGAACTTCCGACGAATACAAATATCCGTTTCAGAAATGAATTCGAAGGTTTTTGGTAAAATTCAAAAGAGGCGGAACACCGTGAATTTTAGAAAGTAATTGCTACTGATAGTACTGACATGGACTGAACTAACCTGACCAACATTTGATACCCCACATTGGATTCCGGAATCAAGAACGGCGGACGACCCAGCTGCACTTCAGGGATTCCAGCTTGAACAGCTAGCTGATGCGAAATCGTGGTCTGATGAGTCATATAACTTTCTTGAATGTTTGAAATTCCACACAGGTCACACGAGACAACCCTTCGGCAAATGCAATCTTGTCAGATAAGGATATAGAACGTAAAAAATACATAAGGAAGCATACAAAATTGACGAACAGGGATGACTTAGTCATCCATATGACACTGGTTCTATATTGTAATTCTAAATTTACGTTCTTTTATTGTTTGTAGCGATCACCGGCAATTAAAATTAATTTTAATTTCATCATCTTCTTGTAAGCACCAGAGCGTTGTTAATAAGTTCCAAGTACAGTACCGTAATCTTTGAAGAAAAAATTCAAGAACGAAATTTCTAATTTTAGTTATTAAACTGTAAAAAAAATGACAAGAAGGCAATCACCTCGGTATCACCCCGTCGGTTGCTGCCCCACTGTCGTCCGAAACAAATTCACGTTGCTTTTTTATCCCTTTGCCTCCTTTCACAATCAGCTCAATCAAGTCCGACCTTCCGTTCGTTAATGCTATTTCAAACGCGGTTTTCCCTTGATTATTCCTTAGATGTACATTCGCCCCACCAAAACTGACGATCACTTCAACCGCTTTGACTTTCCCCGCTTGAACTGCACACATCAAAGGGGTCCAGCCAAAAAAATCCTTAGCATTTACGTCTGCCCCGCGTTTGAGGCACGACTTGATCCTGCGAACGTCCCCATTTTGAGCAGCTCGAAGCAATTCAGAAGGTTGTACTCGGGGAAGCCTTTTCGATCGCGGGCGTTTCTTCTCCTGAAATGCAAATAATGTACTTAATGGTCATACAAATTTATTGCGACAAAAAAATAGCAAAGCGATACGGACTTCTCAAAATCGGGCGATCATTATAAAGCCAAAACCGCAAGATCAACGATGAAAATCAAGATATACATCAGACTACACTCTCGAAGGATTCAATAATTCCAAACTGTAATAGCAGAATCACGAGGCACAAGATATTGAAAACTTTTCGCGGGCATTTATTTACTTTTGACGGAACTGTACATCGAAGATACGGAATTGCATTACACGGAAATTTTACCTCAATCAAACAAATCTCATCATCCGATGTCTCCCTCTTGATGGGTGATTTCCGAGATTCTTTTCGACGCACCGGAGTTAACCCCTCGTACAAATCACACGTGGACGACGATTCGTCATTCTCAGCGCATTTCGACTCACTTAAAGCATGTAAATTCATCGGAATTACGACTACGAGAACATCACAGCAAATCCTGAAATCATTCAAAAGATATGAAAGGTGAACCACGAAAATACTTTCGACAAAAATCCTGTCGAGCTGCACAACTTATTCAGAAAACACGAATTATGAAGTCGAAATTGATCAAATTTTCCGTTCCTTCTCAGTCTGAATTGAAACTGCATGACGTATGTTATGCAACCGAAAGGAGATGAAAAAAAGTCAAAATTCTGGTAATCGATCTGAAACTGAAAAAATTTAATTGATTAAAAAGAACAACGAGCGATCGGCTCTCAAAACAAATCTATTTCTTTCTCTGCGAGATGAGAAAACGTATAAAACCGAAGCGCCGAGGAACGCACAAAAAGTTTCTTTTTCGCGCAGCAAAAGCATCGAAGAAATTCGCTTGATTTCAAGTTTCCTCCCTTCTCCCCATCAGCATCATCAAAAAGGCACGGCATTCACAAAGGTTTCCGAACAAAATTGTCGATATATCTTGAGGTGCAAACATAAAAAATATTCTTTGAAATACGCAAAAATTTCGGCGAAAATGCAAAAAAGTGTCTTTTTCCCTAGCTAAAATAATTGTGCAGCACCCAAGCGATAAACTTAAAACAAAGCCTTCCGAGTATAGAACTGAGTCTTACGCGAGTTGGAAATTATCTTCAGCTACACATATATCATGATCACTTTGCGGGAAAATCTAGCAAACTGGTAACATAAGATAATTCAATCCACAGGAAACGATGACGAGAATTATAAGACACAGCATACAACACTATTGAGACAATCTAAATATGAAAAAACCCCAAATGTTTTCAGAACAATTCGTTTTACGGGGTTTTTAATGGGGATAAAAAGTGACAGGAAAATATCCCATCATACAACAGGCTTGAGAGTATCGGTGCACGCGGTAAAATAAACGGTCGACCATATTTCAATCAGGAAAACATTCGTGAAGAAAATGGTTTTTGAAATTCTCCCGCAAACTGATTTGATCTACGATATGCTGAAGTTAACGCTGGGAACAAATGGTAAAACTCAATGCAATTTATCATTATACACCCCAGTCTTTCAACGATGAGACCAACTGTTTCAAGCGCTGTTAAAGTTAGACATAAGTGCCAACTGAAAATTAATTTCGAGAAATGTTGCCTTGAAACAAAACGAAACATTTCCAGAATCTTCGTGAAGATGGTAAAAGATGCCAAAAATTTCGGCAATGGTGGCTTGAAAAAACGGTGGGATCTCGAGGTTCAAACGTCAACAATTCCCAACAATATGGGGCGTATAATAATAAAGAACAACGAACCTCTTGACAAGACTCACTGTTTCGTGTCCGCACGCGCAAGAATTTTTCCATGCGAATGAGAAGACGGCGATTCGGAGGACTCCGAAGATGACATGCTTTCTGAAGAAGCCAAATGGGCACCTTTTGGAAGCTTAAGAACGCTGTCGCAGTTTTTCGGTTCTCCGTTACTCCTGATTTGGGTCACATCAAGAACTGCTCCTTCCACTCTCGCTGGTTTTAGCCCAGGTATGCGGTACACCCAATGGTGCTGCCGGAATTGCCAAGAAGGTGGCAGAGTCCCGGAAAGCCGCTCACCGGATTTCCCAAAACTGCCGCCCCCAATGTAACGACCGAAGCTTGCCTAAAATAAAAATTCCACATCATTTTTCCCCCGGTTGCATAGAAGAAAATTCCACAAGGTTTTTGAACAAACTTTCTTTAACTGTGACTCCGCAAAACATTGAACAAGTTGAAGATAAAATCAAACTTTATCGTTATCCGAGGGTTTGACACAAGCACTGTAAATTACCCACAAACCCTCTCTATAATTCGGCTACACATAACTCTCCATTTTCACCGATATTTGAATAATTTGTAAAAAAAAAAAAATATGGACTTCCTGGTCTGTGAATGAAACATTCCGGTCAAGCGTAAAATTCGAATCATCTCCAGTTTATCTGCCAATCACGATATACATACAAAGTTGGTAAAACTCATCCGGGTCTAAGCTCAACACATTGAACAGTTACAGAATAGGAACTTTTTGTGTTTTCTGAAAAAAAAAAAAGAAACGCTAAAATGGAAACAATTGATTGCAGTGTATTGGTAGTCAATGCAGTTTTTCACGAGGCAAAGCCAGGCATTATCCTGACCCAAAACTCTAAATCCCCACTGAAGAAGGTCGCATAAGTTTAAGATACAGTGGTCTGGAGATTGTTCGAGTCGATTTTGATCGACACATACATCGAACTACTCACGGAACTGTTTCCGCTGCTTGTAATACAGTATACAGTACTGTATTTCATTTTCAATGAAAACATGTTGCTGAAAACGACCATAAGATTGTGTTTCCTTATGAAAACTACAATGCATCGATTATTCGCAGGACTTCAGAAAACCCTCTCTTTTTCCTAAAAAATTTTTGCGATGAATTTCAAACATAGGCTTGCCTGAAACGGAAACGAATGAGGAAGGGTGCTTGATCCGCCAACCGACAGTGACGGCGCTCCGTATCGCGAAACAGAAGATTTCCGTTGGTAAAACAAAATGTATGCATCCTTTGTAACAACATCCTTCTCGTCCATCTTCGTCACGTTCTGATCATCGAAGCAGTACCACAGCCCATTGCTCGAATTTCGACAAAAGGCTGCAAAATGGCGAATATAGCAATGAGGAAAAAAACTCACGGGTTTACTAGTAAGTAAAGGAGCACACACTGGATACGCATTCTCGACAACAGCAATTGTCAAGCACTCGACTCACCCGTGTAATGTCCGCCTTGATCATCAGCTCCATGATGATTACACACAGCGTACAAATTATACGAGCATTCTTCCGGTTTCAACGAACTGGGATGTGAGGATAGCATCGCTCGGTTACCGTCCATTCCGCGACGAGTTTTTCCCAGCAACGTCTTTGGCCACTCGGCAATCGACGCCAACTTTGGCACTTTTGGTCGCCTCGAAAAATCAGACGAAGAAGCTGCATCTCCTTTAGGAACGTTCGAATCTTCAGGTCTATCGGTTATTGACTGAGTCCCAGATGATTCTGAAGACGAAGTTGCAGCGCTACTCCGATCCGATCTCTTGACCAAATGATCAGAGATGTTGAAATCGTTCCGCGGAAATTCCACGAGCGTAGACAATTTCGAAGTAACAACTCCGTTGCTTGAAGACTGCAATGAACGATCAGAAAATGCGCGAGAAATTAAGAAATATACTGCAGTAGAATTTCGTTGCAACTCATAACAAATTATTGTATCATCAACAAGTTTTTTGTGGTCCCTCTTCAATAGCCACGTCATTTAAACGTCGTTCTAAAGATTTTTTTTTTTCAACAGAGCTTCATGCCTGGCCCCAAACACTTTGTTTTAAAGTGATTCAACAATGTAGGCAAGCAAGTCTCAAAATAATAGCTACCACAGAAAAAATGCTACCGCGAATTTTAAACGAATCTCACGCAAGGCTGCCATGTAAAAAAAGAAATGAATAGGTAGGCAGCGATTGACGAACCAAGTTACTTCTTAATAGCTACGAAAATAATTCACTGCACCTGCTTAAAACGCTTCAAGTGAACAACAAGAATGTCGGGTAACGACCAAAGTGCCAATTTCTTCACTCCTTTTTCTTTTCTGTTGCATGATGGGCAAAGCCAGGCATTATCCTGACCCAAAACTTCCTCCGATGTATACTCCTAGAAAAGAAACATCATTATTTGCGTCGTCAAAAATGTTATGAAGAATATCCAACCGAAAAACACTGCTCCAAGTTGACCGGTGGTTGATAATTCGGGTCATCCAAGAGTTCTTTGACACTTTCGTGGTCGTCTTCGTGCTCAACGTCATCGAATATTACCCTTCGTCACACAGAAAAGTCGACTTTACGCTATGCTGTTTTGCTATGAAATCATCGAAACCTACTTCTCTTTTGGTCCCATGTTCCACTTCAGGAGAAGCTTTATGTGCTTTGGACCGGCATGGCCATCTCCATCAGGGTCACTGAGGCTCAGAGCTTGATCCACAAGCTCCGCATAGAGCGGCATGTCCATGTCAGAGCTGATCACTTGACAGTCTTTTTCACCCAGGAAGACTTCAACGGTGAACAGAGGAACCTGAAAAATACAATGTATGTACATAGCTCATTCAAAAACAACAACAGAACTTCACAGCGAAATTCACTTCAAATTTCTCAAACTTACAACCTGATCGGAAATCAAGACGGACGGATCAACCATCATGTGCATTTCTTTGAGCAACAATTTCTGGAAGTCCACGTACGATGTTTCCCGCGTCATTTGCGTGACGTAAGGCGCCCCAAATCTTGCTTTATTGCCACTTGTATGGATCTCTGAACTTCCTTCGGCCAATGACGTTGAGTTTTCTCCAATGACATCAAAAGAGGCACTTTTCTCAACGGACGGCTTCGAATCGACACAAAGCAAATTAACGAAAATGATGGATATGGAGTCTGTGTCGGTTGTGCAGGCTTCCTCCCGTGAAGGCATTTCAAGTGCATAAAGGCTATGAACGAAGTGGTCGCTGTTGATCGCCTTCAAAGGTTGTTCATCTGGATTACAAAAGAAGGCAAGAGGAACAGAACAATTCATTCCAGAAATTTTCCAGTTTATAAAAAAATTAAAATCTACATGAATATCTTTTAATAAAGCAGAAGATGTCATTCTGGACTAATATGGGCCATACACGTTCTGTTTACAACTGCTAGGGTCTTATGATTATTCGAACAAACCCCTCATCTCAATTGTTCTCCAGGCAATAACCTTGCGAAAAAGGGCCCATGAATATTTTTCACTGCATTTCTCCACCGAAAAATGCGATTGAATGATCAACACTACGCAAGCTAATCATTACGACATATTCCTCTCACCGAAAAAAGTCCGGTGAAACCCTTCGCCATCGATTTCGACCAAGACAACTCTCCTTCTATCGATTCCGGCATCATTGGACACCACAGTCCTAAGGTCGCCCACTGTTGCATCGCAGTCCATACTGAAAGCCAGCTTAACTTGCCGCGGAATTTGACACAGATACACGATGGATACGAAAATCGGTCGTCGCGCGGATTGTGGAATCGGTAATGACAGACACAGAAACGGGTCGAAAGTGTTGGACTGTCGCTGACAATGCGGACAAGTTAAAGAAGAACGGAACTGCGCTTGGAACAGGCCTTGTATAAAGCTTTCGTTGCAACGGAGAAAGTTCGCCATCGCTTCGGCAGCAAGGACTTCGTCTGGTCGATCATTGGAGCTCTGTAAATCACGCAATAAAAATATAAAACTCGAAATCCCCCTCAGTTGTGAATCGCATACGTCGTATGGAAAAAGTTTTTACTGTCAAGGTCCACCAGAAATCAGCACTAACCTGCATTCTCTTGTATCTACGTTTCTTAGCAACGTTCAGATCTTCATGAACTTTGTCGAGCAACCACATGAGGAACTCTTGCGCATCATGTTGCGTACTCCCACGGTATTGGTTACCATGCTTCTCCACAATGCTCTTGAACTCGGTAGTGATACTTTGAGTGTACTGGCATGACCAAAGTGATTTAATGACACCTGCTAATTTTTCGGTAACTTCTCCTTGCGTACCGAACTTCTTGGATTTCAATCGATTCCTGTGCAACAAATCCACCTGAGAGAACGAATCCGTTACAACTGATCAACCACTTCCTTTCTCGCCTCAACGTACCTTGTACTTCTCGGTAGCGAAATATTCCGCAAATGTGTCTGTATGACTTAGACATTGGAGAACCGCGTTGATAAAACAAGTATTCCCATGATTTCGCAAACCAACGACTCCCGGAATTTTCTCGCCGAACCAAAAAATGCGAAGCTCTTCCTCAGACAACTGATCGGTAACGAATCCATCTGGATAAGATGTCCCATCTTCGTCTTCACCATTGCGCTCTTTCGCAAGGATCCTGCTCGAAACTTCGCTCCTCAAACGCGTGAGAAATTCACCGACGTTACTTCGTAGGTTTTTGCTGTTCTTCATTCTGAAGGGTGTCACAAGAAACAGGAACACTTCTGCTGTTCATACGGCGGAGAATATTCGCGCATTCGGCCTTTCATACTCCTAACGATTCCGTTCCACTAGTTTAAATTAATTCGTCATTGAAGTCTAAGAACCTAAAATGATGGAACCATGGATTACCCAAAAAATCACGAAATGCCAGCCATAGGAATACATGAAAACACACACAAGATGAGCAACAATCGCACGCCATGACGAAAAACTTTGGAACGCAGCAGGAATAATTGGAAGGGAGAAATTCCTGCTGAAAGCTCAACGCAAATCCGACCTTGGTGGAGCGGTAATGAGCTGAAACGGTCTAACTCGACGAGCACTCGTGAGTCGAACGCATTGATTCATCGCCGGTTCACAGTTCGCCTTCCAAGTCGTCCGCAAACGGAATGATATAATAGGCCGCGGAACATTCTCGCACACATACGCGTCTTCCGCCCTCAATTACTCACATGGTACTCATCATTCGTCAATTAACTGAACCCACCGCGTCATCCGCCTCTCATTGCGGCCCTGGAGCTTCGTTACCGGTTTCAGGTCCTGTACGCCATCTAGCGTACGTGCAGTTCTCCGGAAAGTCTCGAAAGCGGCGGTTTTCTTTCTTTCAGTGAGTTTCCTTACAAACAGGAAACTTTTTCATGATTCTCACCTACACTTGTAGAGTTCCCATAAATGATCATAAGCATATCAACCCTTTAGTGTATGTACTGTACTTTTTACCACGTTTTTATGAACTCACTTTCTTGTCTGTCTGTCTGTCTGTCTGTTTGTNGAGATTGTTGAGAAGAAGTGAAATACAAATGAAATAGATGCGCACCACGTTTAAGGTTATTTTTTGCTTTTTGAAAACGTGGTTTTTTAGATTAATTTTTTAATCTACTATAATTATTAGATTTTAACTCGCATTGATTTACCAAGAGAATAAAAGTGGAACTGTTTATGTAGAGGCTTCATTTGCATCCCAGTACAGTATGTCAATTCAGTGAGAAAACAAAGCAGCGCCTCTCCATACGATTAATTCGAGCCATCCTATGGAAGTTCTTTCCCTTTCAAATTGCCTAACCATAATTTTTTACAGAATTGATGGATTTCTATAGTAAAATACATCTTGCCCAAATACAGTATATTCATTATTTCTGGTATATATACAGTTGCATCCGTTCAGTGTGCTATTTGGCTCATGCACATAGAGTATTATTGTACTTACTGTAAAATACTTTTAGGATTAATTACAAATATTGTATGTACTGTACTGTACAATAATTCACGTTCAGCATTGCCTGTGTTACAAATTTCCTGTGCCAACTTTCTTCGTCAAAAACCTTTCGAGAAAAAATTCCCCAGGCAATGGAACTTCTTGTTGACAATAAGCCTGGATAATTAGAATTGTATTATGCTAAATTTGATTGTTGTAGAAAGTTTTGAAGATATCAAATTTTGTCAGACTTGAGTTCAATGCTGGTTTTTGAAGATAATCTTGTGACAGAAAGGCTTTCCATATTTTCAATGCGACGAAAATCTTTTCAACAGCCGCGTATGAGAATCGGAATATTCTCCGTCTTCCATTCATGACAAAATCGGCTTGTAGCAGAAAAGACCATCAATAGTTCCTTGTGATGCTCTATAGTCTCGCTCGCCGATTGACAAATGAAATCATCCGTTTATTTTTCCACGTCAAATAAAAGGGATCATCTGAATCAGCACACCTGTTCTCTACGGTAATTAAAAGGAAATTCCACCAGCCGGCCAGAAGCATTACACCAACCTCAATTTTTCTTTTTCATTTCCACTGTAGAAATTGTGGGTCATAGAAGCTTGAACTACTACTGTACCTAGGAATTTCGAGATCACCGAACATTCCGCAGAAAAATAAATAGCTCGAAAGTAGCCTTCATTTCTCGTTTCACAATCATCCACTCACAACGAACGAATTCATCTGCGAAAGCTCGTATATCCGATTCACCAGCGGAAAACGAAATAACCTGAATGAACCCCATGATTGGAGATCAGTCATTTCAATAAAATCACATGGGCTTGGCTGTAGACATAGAGGTAGGAGAAACACTGGCAGTTTGCTCCCCACTATCCAACTGCTTCAAGAGGCGGAACAAGGCGGCAGCCTCCCTGATTCGACTGAACTCGATGCAGAATGCTTGAACCTCAATGAATAATTCCTGCAATATGCACTCGGAAAAATTAGACTAGTACAGCAGCATAGAAAAGTATTACGCAAAACATGATTTCAGGGTTACGTAACTCTTGACTCGGTCGTATATAAATGATACTGAAGAGAAAGCAAGCGAAAACCATTCCGAATTCCTTCGCGTCAAGACGGTTGTAATATTCATGCCTTGATATCCTCGCCGCAGGTATTGAACTAAAGCTCGAAATGCAATGCGTAGACCGTAGAGGGTAACCATATAGAAGTGCCCGGAGTTCAGAAGTTACAGTACATCGAAAAACTCGACATCCCAGCGTATATTAATTCTTGAAAAAAAAAAAAACCTGCGCAAACTGGGCATGTGATGCGTTCAGAAAACTATAAAAAATATAAAAAAAAGTAATTAGACGTTGAAAAACGCTAAAAAATCGAAGTTCATAAAATGCCTACAAGCAACCCCCAATGATAAAATCTGACTACTCCGTCCATGCTCATACACACACAAGGAGAACCAGAACCAGAACCAGATGGAACTTGGGATGAAAGGATGAAATTCAAACGCAATTAATGTACAACACTTCACGTGCGCTAAGACAACTGTTCCGTCATTTCAAAGAAAAAATTATCGCACGGATTACGAAGTTCTTCAGACAAAGGTTTCTTGAACCCCTAACCTAGTTTAAAAACAAAAATTCCACCCAGCTTCAAGCGTATGAAAAAAATGGAGGCAATCAATTTACCTGAACATCAATAATCTTATTCCGGATGAGACTCTGCAAAAATACGCAGACTAATCTCACGAGCCGATTCTGCATGTACTTGTCTTTGATGTTCTCACAGGTGGATATGCAGTTTGAAATATACAAATGCAGAAACTCCTTCGGCAAATCCACAGCTGTAGTCAATCTAGTAAAATAAAATAATTTTTTAAAATTAAATTTCGGGTCGAAATTGAGTGCATTTTCAAAATTTTGATGCTATTACCTGTTGACGACTTCCATGGAATGTAACGACATCTCCATGTTGACAAGTACAGAAAAATACTCAGTTATCTGCGTTGACTGCATGATCTTCAGCAGCACTTCGATTGCGACAAGCGGATTGTTTTCTACCAAATCTGGAAGCTTCAATATCGAATACAACAATTCCATTGGAGAAGGTATCGAAACAGCATCACATTTCACACTGATACACTGTTTGATTTCCGAAATATCGTCTGTACCTTGGCAGGAGTTAATCCTATGTGGTAAACGATCTTAGGATCGGAGTTCAATTGGGCCAGCAAATGTTGCTGCTGCTGCATGGGCAACGCGGTTTGATATGCTTTCGCCATCAATTTTTTGGCTTCCAGGTTACTTGTGTCAGCTGCACACATCCGTGAATCCCACGACGGCTTGTGCACATCGTCGCTCCATTTTTCATTTGGATTCATCCATGCCAACTGTGAAGAAGACAGAAATATAATTTCGATTTTGTTTCGCACGAGAGAAATCTTCATTTGCATCGTATTCCAAACAATTACTAAAAGAAATTGCAGAAAATCAAATCTACACAGAAGAATCTTGGACTATTCATTGAGAAGTTTTTCAATTTTGTGGCAGCAATGAAGTTCGCGGCTCACCTCATCTTCACAAACAAAAAGTGGAGGAACCAGAGAAATAAATTCAGGAACGTAATACTGATTCGCCAAAGGGTTCGGACCTGCCATTAGGTCTTCGACGGTTTTCTTGATTTTCTCTGGATCGGGTGTCCTGCGAGAAAAAAAAAAAAACTTCAAAATCGAAGTGACCATACATTATTGCAATTGCCTTTTGGTCCGCTGAATTACGAAGTAACGAAAAAATGAATCAACTTTAATTACAATTCCCTCAAAGGAATTGACAAGCGAAATTTCGTCTAATCCTTGTAACCCTACATATCACGATTAAATTTAGTAATACTTTGCACAAAGCTCAGCTCATTAATCCACAATGGTCTTGCATAAATTGGCATCAGTAGCATCACTATAAAAAGCCTGTTTCACTAACGTGGTTTGTTCCGCATTAGGGTCCGGATCGTCAATGACAACAGGAATGCCAGCTTTGCAATGCTGTGGCAACTGAGATTGCTTCTCCGCAACTGCTAGCTCTAAACTACTAATGTCAGAGGGTGGCATTTCATTCGGGTTTATTTGCAAAACTTGGCGTGCAGTCATTGCCAGCAACAACTAAAAAAAATATCGCATCATGAAATGAAAACTTACTCGTCAATACCAGCAGGAATGCTAAATGCAAAATACTGGCCCTTACTTCTTTGGAGGATGGCATCATCAACAGATTCGAGAAAAAGTTTCTTTCCTGCAAGGAAAGTTTCGGAAGCTGCCCAGCAAACTCCAGTTTTTTGTTCGCTCCCCGCATGACTTCGTCCATTGGGTTCTACACAGCCATTGAAGTAAAAAATCACCTATTCCACAGATGTGAGCTGATGACAGCCCAAAAAAACGGGGTACTAACGAAGAGGCGAATGAAAACAGATGCAAACGGAGATTTGGCGATTTCTCCTCGATACATTTCATGCAACAACGTAATCGCAGCAACTCTCTGAGAAGGATTTGGCAACAAGTCTTGGTGCTGCAGAAGCGTCACCAAAGTACACCCAACTGAGAGAGATAAAAAAACGCTGAATATTTTCAATCAAAAATCGACGCTTGTCTCACTCACCTTTGAAAATGTCTTGTTTTGAAAAGTTAGCCTGCAGTTGATTGCAGACATTCTCCAACGGTCTCGTTTCTGCGCAATCTTCGCTCAGGATGCTGAAAAGTATACAACATTCTCTTAGGTCAATATGCGAAAACGACATTTTCGCCGATTTCACTTACTCTAGCAACATCCCGAGCTGGGCAGGAGTCAAGGACATCGTGCGTCACACCTCCGCTTCTCACAGTACACCAGATTTTCTTTCCATGTTACAGATGACTAAAGACAATGGATTCAAATTAAAGTCGAGACACATGACTCATGCACGAATAACTGAAAGTCGGTTTGCGAAAATTCAGTATTTGGTTTTTCTTCGCCACTCACACTCGCATAAATTTCAGAAAAGGTACTATCTCACAAGTCTACCACGGCTTTCAACTTAAATGCAGTGCTCATCACAATTACTAAGTACTTCCTGGGAGAACTATGTACGTTTTTAACGTAGACCCCGTGAATTAAGTGTAACTCGGAATAAAATTTTTAAAATCAGGCACCGGACTGAAATTTTCGATCAACGATTAAAATAAATTCAACAACGTGAGCAGCGGAACTGCGCAAAAAGAAACGAATATAGTACCATACAATAAGGAGGGACTGCGCATCCACCTCAACAGAAATATTGCATTTGTCTGCTTCTAGACTGCACTCATTTACGAAGTTCGAGTGAAACACAACGAACATGGAAAAGGCGAACATTTCTCCGAACAAATTTCAATTATAAAACGGGGAAAAAAGGTGCGAAGTCTTTGCCACGGATGTGACCGAATTCGGAGAAAATTCTTGCACAGCGGTTGAGCAGCAAAACGTGATGCTAGTGGCACGAAGTTAATGACGCGTAGTTATAAAAACGATGATCGCTCTTCCAAACAAAGAACAAGATCGAAGTCCAGGGATCGTCGCGTGCAACCGACAGGGATTTTTTCTTGAAAGCCAAACGGTGACTCTACAGCTACGATAATCCTGAATACGTTCGCAAGGTTTGCCGCCATGATTCAGGTGTTCTTTGAGCTCCAAATCAATCGACGAATTCTTCGCGGAACTTACCACGGCTGGTCTGCAAAAAGAAGAGGACATTTTTTCAAGATAATCTTCAAGACGAATTCTGCATGAAAATTATACACAGGTTAGCATCAACAATTGGAATATAAAAAGACTCCACCAGCGATTTCCAATAACGGTCAATGGGCCATTATGACATCCCGGAAGACATTTGTGTGGATGTAAAAACGTCGGTTTTCTATTCAGAGAAACCTAACTTTCTAATTAAATAGAATTCAAACAAAAAAGTTTTTAACTTAAATTTCTGTCGATATGAACGTATGTTTCATAAAACCTCACGAATTTTTCTAACAAACTTACTGTCTATGGCCATAATAAACATCACATTTAAAATAAAAATCATAAATCAATCCAAACCATGATGATGCTGAAATGTCGGTAGGAAAAAATTCAGTTTTCTCACTTTCGTAACAGGTACAAATAAAAAAATAAACTTGATCATTGGAGTCTGGATTCAGTTTTTTATGGTTTGTTAAAACATAACAATACAGTAATTACTTGAAAACAGTAAAAAAATGTCCGAGACATCGTGAGTAAGCTACAATTTTCATCGGAAAAAGTGATCACGGCATGTGAGTGTCGTCATTCTTCCGATTATAGCATTTAACCGTTGTGATGGATGAAATCTGAACATATCAATCGTGAATCGATCAGATATTTAGCAAATAATAAGCTTTATCCCACCATGAAAAAAATCAACGTTCAGTTCAAATAAAAAATGAAATCCTCAGTTCGAACTTTCATCATCGACTGATACAATGAACACGGTCAAACCTAAAAATTGGCCAAGATTAATCCCATTTTTTGTATTCACTTTGATCAGTGCAGGTATTCTGAATTGCTTCTCAAGTTGTGATGCACAAGTAAGGTTGAAATATGTTGTTACTATGAGATCAAATCTTAAAGGCTTTCCTACAGGGTATAGCAAACTCGCAAATTCTTCCACGTGGTCCCATTTGGCCGAAGAAAACGGTTTCGTATCAACTAGATAAAAGATTCAGTAAGTACTTTAAATTAAATTAATACCGAATTAAGCTACAGGAGTTTACGGTCTACTTCACCAGCTACTGGGGAAGTGACTGCTATCCAGGGGGCCATGAAAAGAATCGAAAAAGATACTTGCATCAAATTCAAGACAAGACAGAACGAAGCAGGGCACGTGAGGATATACAAAAGCGTCGGCGGGTTGAGTCTCACGCAAGAATTCATGCCTAGAAAAACAATTCACACATTTCTTTCTTTCTGCTTCCCAGATACCCGAAAGTTTGTGGATCTGAGCTTGGCTATGCTGGCCCCAAAGTTCATATAATTGTTCTTGGCAACGACGAGTGCTTCCAGAGAGGTAGAATACTCCATGAATTGTACCACATTCTAGGATTTCCTCACGAGCAAAACCGATCTGATCGAGACAAATACGTTGTGGTCAACTGGAAGAATCTTCTTCCCGGTGAGAGCCTCTTTCTATCGTCAGGTATCTTGGAAGCTCTCTCAAACTTTGACTTTCTAGGCATCGAGCTCAACTTCCGGAAGTTCAAAGGAAGATACATGGACGTAGGACCTTACGATTATTACAGCCTAATGCACTACAGTTTGTACGCTATGGCCAACGACCGAAAAGTGAGAACTCTAACGCCAACTACGAAAAACGTTGACGAGAGCAGAATTGGCCAACGCAAGGATTTCAGCCCAATAGACTTGCAAAAGATCAACACCTTTTATAAGTGCGAGAAAAAGACACAGCCCAGCAGCAAAAAAATGTATCAGACAACGATTTCTCAAAAATTGAAGTCGGGGATGAATAAAAAAATGCAAGAGCCGATCGATGGTGTAATCAGCGTTCAAGGGAATTCAAAGCTCTTCAAGAAATGAAGAAAACATGAACTTCCCGTAAATGAAAAGGTTTTATTGAACCGGCTAGTTAAATTTTGTTGAATACACGTGACGAAAAATACACGCTATTTCCTTTAGCTGCTGCATGTCTCAATTTTTTTTTTCGTTCACAACTGATGATACGGATATAATCGAAACAGAAAATTGGACACAGCCATAAGGTGTTCGCTAAGGAGCATCTCTGAATCTTGAAGCGGTGTCAGGCCCATATATGTATACTGTATATATATATATATATATATATACTGAAAAAAAAATTATATATGTATATATATATATACTGAAAAAAAAATTATATATGTATATATATATACAGTACAGTATATACATATATATATTTACTGTATATTTATACTGTAAGTACAGTATACATATGTGGGCCTGACACCGAATTTTTTTTTGTCTCGTAGGGGTCTCCAACCATATTTTAGAGTTTACCGCAACGAATTTATTCCTGGTCCCGAGAATTTTGTTGTGGAGAGTCCACCGGTATATACATATACGGTAAGGTATTTCTAAAAATATATAATTAGTCCTTTCGGCAACAAACATGCACAATCACTACGTTAGGTACTAATCTCAAACTGACCCAGGGTTCATCACCAGCACTCTTTCCGTCCTCCGCATCCCGGTCTTCGCTGACAGGACCCGGTTCGTCGTCGGGCAACTCTGGTAAGTTATCCATGATGGAGGCGTCCCCGTGGTCCTCGCCGCCGGACAGTAGTTGACGCCCTCCTCCACCATCTTCGTCATCCCCCAACAACTCCTCCTCCTCTAAGGAGCGTGTAGATGTGGGAGTAGACGATCGCCGCTTCCGTATCTTTTTTTGGCCAGCCCACTTACGACTCCTACGTGAGGCCTTGTCCCTGTACGGGCCTGGGTCGGACTCTTCCCGCAAATACGACTTCGGCCCGCCTCCTTCTCCTCCTCCTCCTAACCGACGCACACCCATGAAAATAAAGGGGAGAGGATAATTTAAGAAGAACAAATTCATCTACTAGGGCTGTCGTCTTGCAGACACAGCTGCTATTCTTCCTCGAAGGCTCGTATTGCACTAGCACTCTCCCAAAAGGCCACACGAAGAAAGTTACGGAAAAAAAGATTCGACTGAGCTCATTGGGGAACACGAAGAAGTTACAACTTTCGCCGAGCAATAATATTTTCAATGGTAAACTTTTCTAACTTTCGTTACGAATCCAGCTGAAATTAAATTATAAAATTATGTATGATGGCCATGGAGAGTCATTTTTTGAAAAATGTGCGCCCTTGTTTAAAATGTTGTTTGTTCTTCAAATAATGTAAGATTCTTTCGGCCGTACAAATTGAACAAAATTGATAATTACGGTAGCGAGGACTTCCGTCACGCTCACCAAAACGTCCACCATTTCTCTGGTTTCCCTGAAACAGAAAAGAATCGCATACAACAATGAACGGGAATGATGAGATTATTCAAAACCGTGAGGGTATAAATATTTTTAGAAGTTAATTTTAAACGCGGGACACACGGTACTGGAAACTGCGTTGAGATAACCAACAAATTAAGTAAACGCTCGAACAAAATAAAGGAGCACTGCATATCCGTTCTTATTCTGGTCGCTGGACTAAGGTACATTTCTTGCATTCAGATGAATGATGAACCGATTTTTGGAATAAAAGGGATTAAGAGGGACAATTGAAAAATGCGTTCAGTTCCGTTGTACCAGGACTGCCCATGCTTTATCACCCATCAATTTCTACTACGGATAGATACGATAATTTTCAACAGCTATACAGGATGACAAATCAACAGAATTTTCCTATCGCCTCACATCAGTTCCATCAGCGCCTTCCTCATCATAGGCTCCCAAAAACGATATAGTCATTTTTCCGCTCAACACCACAGGGGTCACGTCATCTGAATCTCCAACAGCAGAAGCACTCTGTTCTTCCAGTGGCAGGGCCCTACATTCAGCCTCCGATACAAGCATTTGCGCATCTCTCCGCAACGCGGCGTCCAAAATAATACTCGAAACGTTGTTGCCCGTGTCGAGCATATCGTCAGTGGTGTCCAAATCGAGTAGACGTTCCTTAGAACGCGAACGGGATCGACGGAACTGAGCCGCCGTCTGGACATCACGAACGCCGATATGTGTATTTTCGCTGAAGTGGATGTGCTTCTTGGAAAGAGTAGGAGACGGTTTCGGAGTCGGCTTGTCCTGCTATAAAAATATAATTACGCCATTTCAAAAATCATTCAAACTTCGGAAATCGACACCAATTTAACGGAACTTCGATTATCCGCGCTCCAATAACGTGTGTCCCTAAATACACGCAACCTCGTCACGAATTAGAAACTATTCGGGATATATTAGCTGCATTTCCCTCGACCCAAAAGTATTATTTTCTGATCATCCGCGTAATTAATCTGGCTGATCTTCGATCAACATGATTTTGACTAAATCAGGGTACGGTTAAATAATTGTGTCGTTCTCCAATAAAATAAGAAAAAAACACCGTAATCAGCCAGGATTGTTCGTGGTTCCAATGTCCTAGCAAAAAAGCATGAAAGTCTTGCTTCAAGTTTGCAGTCTCCCATAATTCTTCGCAGTTTTCCACAATAAATGAACAAGCATTCTCGTTCATATTCTTCAACGCTCAAAGATTTGAATTGCATAAATTTAACCCAAAAATAATGACGCAGGAAAAGCTAGATCGCTTGACGTTGAAGATCGGTTTTCCAGTAAGAAGCCGTTTTTACTCCAGTCCAAAAATGTAAAAATACGGGAACCGCCGTAAATATCTCTGCCTTGAAACTACTTTACATGAAATTACAGAAAATTCTCTCTTTATCATTAAATTAAGTAACGTCAATTCAAATTATAACGAAGTTCGTAGCTCACGTTCGCATCAGTAAAGTTATCTGCTTCGAGAACATCCTTGATCTGAGTTTGAGTTGCTCCTTCAGCATCCACATCAACCCCTTCTTGTCTCGAAGCGTCTTCACCCTCCTTCAATAGAAAAAAAACAGAACAATCACAAGCCTGAAGAAATTTCAACGCAAACCGCAAACAAGGAACGCTATCACAACTAGGGTTTAAAAATGAAAGTCGCTCACAAACAAGGATGCGAAATCGGTGCAAATCGAAGTCGAACATGCAGCCACGAACAAAAACATCTCCATCGAATGATGATTATTAAAACAAGGAACAATAACAATTGCGTTCGCCTCGAGAACTCAACGGCATACATATGCAGTGATCGCAATACTCCAACATACAAATCGAATGACACAGAATCATTAGGCGAAGAACGGAAGATAATCGCCAACGAGGGATGAGTCAAAAATTTGCTCAGTCTTCATGATCACAACAATCGGTGCTCATTTATCGCAATTCCAGGAATTAACGTGATATTTAAGTCAGCATTGTTTAACCGGCTGTATAAAATCAGCAGTGAGTGAATGATCATTCCGAATAGTAAAAAAGGATCGAGAAATCACCTAAAACGCATCGCACGTTCAAAAAGAAGGAAGCGTCTCAACTCTCTGGATACAGTAATTTTTATCCCGCCTGAAAACACGTGATATAATTTGAAGTAATTATCGAAAGACATGACCAAACTTTTGAGCGAGCCCTCGGATCAATGAGGTCCTACTTAAAACTCGCCGCTGACCTGGACACCGGAGTCCACCGAACTCGGCCTGCTCGTGAGGTTCTTCTCCTTTTCTTTCGTCAAAATGGCTCGGTACTCGTCCATTTCTTTCATTATACCCATCAACGCTCTTGCCACTAAGCGTAAACCGCAGCAAGAGGAAGACGAAGAAGAAAAAGGCATCTCGCAATATTTAAAGATCGTCTCCGACACATAACACGGAACTGCTCAAGAGGATTTTACATTGCGTTCGCTTAGTCGCGGGAAGTAAAGGCAGAGTCAGGGGGACGCAGCCAAGTTCCGCGCTAAACCAAATTCGCGGAGTTCGGCTTGTACAGAAGTACCGTAGTTATTGTACTAGAGACACAACGCAAGGTTGTTCTGCTGCTCTGGGTCTTACAGTGAACGAGTTTGCATCATGTTCAGTACAGTACAGGAATTAGCTCTAGCACTTCGCGAAACGCTCGACTTCATGAATACTGGTGCCTACTCTTGGCTGGTATCATTGAAAAAGAGGGGTTTTCAATGATTAGATTGATTTCTCGAATTTTGCTTAAATTTATCACCTTCAGAAATTTACATCTTTCCTCAGCGGTCCAAGAATTCTTCCTTCGATGCTTAAACCTTTTTAACCTCGGCAGAATGGTTAACACGAAGAAAAACTACATGGGCCAGCTGCTTATCAGTGAAATAGTGCACCCGGGTAATAATTACGCATACCGGTACATAAGTTTCCGTGCGAACTGGCAAAGCATTTTTGCGGACTGGCACAAGCCAAGGATTGAAGAAAACTGGTTTACGGGTAAAAGCTTTGAAAAATTAAATTTTTTTTAAAGAAAATGCATACCCAGAAAGTATGCGCCAATGGAAAAAGGTTAGATTTTGAGAAGTTTACTCGAGTGATGCTGAATTTTCCTTCCAGACCATTCAGATGTTGAAGCTGCACTTGAAGAAAATCGGTCACCGACGAGGACAAATACTTTTGCCAAGTCTTGGCATTGATACCGGCGTGCTTCAGAGAATTCTAAATCAGATGCTAGGGAAATCAAGGCACTGATTGACGGATCCTGATAATCAGAATTTTTCCCCCGGATAGATCTTCGAAATGATATGTGAAACTGGTCGAGAGTACGTTGAACAACACCGAAAGTAAGTTGACAATAAAATAAAACGTTTCCTGCAAAGTGCGAACAGCACTCTTTAATTTTTCATTGCGTGTACTGGCAACGCACTTGAACAAATTACAGTACAGTATATTCTCCAACGAACTTCCGAACGATTGAGTTTGATTGCGTAGAACTCGTTTGCTGAACCCAGAAAAGCAGAGTAAGTGCAAATCACAGCAACCATCCAACGACATGAGGAGTGATGGGATAAGTCAAAAACAAACCCAGGCGCTAGAGTGAATGAGGTGAACAAAAACAACTACGAAACTTGAATGCCTAACAGACTGATCCCAGGAGCAGCGCCAAACAATCAACCTTATCAGAACTTGTCGTCGGCGCCGGGATGGGAGGGGGAGACGGCAAAACGATGTCGGCGTTCTTCGCGGTGGTCATTAATCGATCCGACACCGTCGAGATGGTGGCCATCATGCGCTGCATTGCCGCCTCAGTGTCGGCCAAACGTTGGCGTAAATTCTCGATTTCCACATCCTCTGCGTCAGAGTTACGCATCGCTCAACATCGTGCCCCTGGGGGTTTTATCTCGAACTCCCAACATTCCAATGCTCGAGATCCCCCCCTACATGAACTTACAGCTAATTCGCTAAAATTACTGCGCAAGACGGACATTTTGGAGGAATTTTCCCATCCCATTCATATCAATAAAATGAATGGTTCAGTTACAATTCCAAAATCAGACTCGAAAAATATCGCAGACACACACATTTTAAAGTTAGTAAGCCCCTAGCCAAAAAATCCTATTGCGAATATACATGTATTTTGGGAATTGGCCTCGGTTTACCACGAACTACCTCAAAATCAAGAACACTGAAGTTACTTTCCGAGTTGAACAGAACAGGTCTCTCAATCTACATCTGAATCTTCCGTTCTAAAATATGGGCCGAATGAAACACCGACGCGAGAAAAAAAATTCCATCACAGAATCACGAAGACGATCATGACGAATTTAAAAGACGAATCACGTTCTATGGGAAGAGCTGCTTTCGGGCGACAACAAAGTCAGAGAGAAGAAAGACAGATTGAAGACGGGCACCGTAGCATGACAACATAAAATACTCACTCTCGTCGCATTCGCGGCGCCCTGTTTGCGGCACAACCAGAAGAAGGCGGGAAAATAATGAGAGGTTTTTCACATTTTTTAAATTCGAAAATTATCAACAAACAGAAAATGAAGTTTCTGTACGAACACAACCCAGTAAACTCATTAATACAGGGGAGAGAGGGGAAGATTTTTTTGTACATCAGCTTAGGTACGCTAACTGTTGGATTGGAATTTTGTGCAACGCGAAATCTTCTGAATGGAGCAAAATCCATTACTCAACAAATTCGAAGACCAGTAATATGACTTATCTTTTATTTTCAAGTACAGTACTTCGCATGGAGGTTCTACGAAAATTCGCGGAAATATAATTAGAGTATATAAGAACCTCCGAGAATATGTCAAATACCCCAACTCACCAATTTTCAAAGGAGTTTCTTCCTTTTCATTCCGTTCTTTCCAGAGTTCAATGTAGTCATGAGTGCTACTCTCGTACTCCTGAATAAGTCTGCAAAAACAATGGTACACAGAAATAATTTTGCATTTGCTATAGTAATACTCTCTTCTCACGTACCGTCTGTGATCTGGATCAAGAACTTCAAGTCGGCGATCTTTCGGAGACTGATCCTGATCTTTCTTGAACATTATCTATTTCAAAAAATAAATAAAGGGATATGAACGTAACCTTCACGTCCAGCGACATTTTGAGCGTTAGTGACAGAATCAGCTTTGATGGGCAGCTTAGAAATTAATAGTTCTGCTGGACAATCTATCGGAGAACATCACCTGTAGACTGATGTGTTCTAGATCTAGACAGTCCACCTGTATTACATCAACCGATGAAATTCTTTCGGCAAATACAGATATTGTGAATTTATTTCAGGTCGCTGAATTACAGTATCTCAGAAAACGGTATGAAGAACTATTAATTACATAAGCATACAAATAACTCACCTTCATGACGGTGTACACGAAGAAAACGACAATCGCAATTGTGTACAACGGCATAATCATACTCATAGTGCCCCCGGGACGCTGTGGAGGTACCATCTGACCAGGACCACCTAGCGAAGGTTTACCTGACAAATCCGACGGCTAAGATGAAAAAGAAATCAATCGTGAAATTACTGAATTTATAGCTCCAATTCGATCGAGTACACCGCGCCCCTTACACGCATTTTTGAACAGCGGCACCGGGGTAAAATCTTTGATAAACACTTCAAAATGATGGCGTTCGAATAATTTTTTCTCTAAGAAATACTGAAAGCACAAATAAGTAAATGAATGCAATGGAAAAATTTTAAAATGCAGTAGTGCACAATCTCATTATAATGAATTATTGCTTATAACAAATTTGTTTCTTCGATCCGTGCCCAATAGCCATAACGGTGATTTAATTTCGTTTCAAGATTTTTTTTGTTTATAACGAAGCTTTCTTTAAGGTTCCAAATGGTTCGTTATAAGGATTTTCTATTGAATTAAAAATTCTCTCAAAGCACAAAAAATGACAAACTTGAAATATCGAAGTAGAGTAATATAACTTTTTTGAAGCATCCGAGTATCTCAACTGTACACATTGAACTCCGATTTTTTCTTCACCATTAAGTAATACCGGAGTGTCATAGAAGCTTGAACGAAACTAAGAATTTCTTACTTTTGGCGGAGCATCGCCAGGATGGTGAATACCATGAGGAACCTGGCCTTTTTCCCTCATGGCAGGGTTCATCATTCCGGGGTGCAAGTACGGTGTTCGCTCTCCCCGTCGCCATTGTCCTAACGAGAAAAAAATTACTTGAAGCAGTAGGAAAATGAGATTTAACGTTAGGCAGAAACATGCATGGTGATTAAACGATCAGGATGTGTTATAGTTCAAAGTGCATATTTTTATGCAAAACAAAACGCAAGCAAGATTCATAGGTCGCACTACGACAAAACTTAAAACAGAACAGCGGGCAGTAATAAAAGCAAGAAGAGACTAAAACTAAATTATACGGGATTTTATAAGGTCCAATAGAATACAAATGCGGGGAAACTCAGAAAACGACAAGGAACTAACGATTGATAAAATCTTGAAACTTCTAGTTCGATCCACACAGGCGAAGAAGATTCAAGTTCTGGAGTTCTAATGCACACTTGTAGGTTTCCTAACGTTAGTTTTCATAATTGCTAAGTCGAAGGTCGGCAATCACAAGAAACGATCAGTTTCGTGAAGGTTAGAGATATCGACGTACTAGAAGAGTATATCAGCAGAAATCTGTTTCACTTGAGGTTAATTTTCACCCCAAACAACACCAGTTGAAATCGTGTTCTTTCCCTCACGTTCTACTGCCAATTTCCACTCGACCTCAACGTTCATTTCTGCTTTCATGTTTTTCGGAGTGACACCGTAAACGCTCGAGAGACATGTAGTGAGGTTCCACAAAGCGGTACTCTGCTGAACCCGGGCTTTCTTATTTCGCGAGTCCACGAATTCCTGAGCTAATCCAGGATCGAGGAACACGCCACAATTAGCCTCCACTGTTCTTTGACATGCAGTGGAGAACTGCGTCGCCCGGTTATCGAAATCAGCAGAAATTTTTTGCGAAGCAGCTACTGCCTTGCAAATGTCGAGAAGCGGATTTTGTCCGACCTCGTCTGGTCGCAGAGCTACGGGATATGTACAGATTTCAGCTATCTGCAATACTACGATAAGCAATACTGTACGAACTAATAAAAAGCCGCAGGAAAAAAAAAAAAACTAGGAATTTGTGCAATAATGATAGCTTTATTCGCTTCAACGCTGTTGGAGCAAAATAATAAACAGATTTTTGCGGCTACGAATTTTTGTAACTCAGATTATTCGACATCTGCAGCAAAAGTCAAGAGAGAAAAAATTGTGTCCGGCTAAACTGTTCCAGAGTTTTCAAGATTACACGAAAATTTGAGCAAGTTGCTTTCACAATCAAAAAGAAAAAAAGAGAATGGAAATGAACTACTGCAGAACGAATATGCTCCTTTGACGATTTAATGGCATCGCCATGATACTTCACAGTTGAAAGGATGTACTTCAGCAAAAGAATAAGCAGAAACATACGAACAAAAAGTAATCCCTTATGAAGTAGCGTTTCGTAACAACATAGAAACCAAATTCAGGCGGAACCCTATATACAGTACATGTACTGAACTGTACAGTAATCGGCAAGAGAATCGTCGAATTGAGGACAAAAAGAAAACAAACAAAACAAAAATGTGCAAATTCCAAATCGGCAAAACACTTCCCGAGCATTTGATGCAAAATTTTCTACAAAAAATCATCAACGAAAACATTACGTTAATTTGATGAATAGTTTGATCACAACAGGTCAACCGAATGCTCACTTAATGTGGTTCGATGAAGCAGCTTTTATTGGTGTTCAATAAAAAATTTAAAGAAAGTTCATCAATATTAGTTTACGTTAATAAGGTTGACCACTGTAAACGAGTCCTTTTCAACCCGAGACCCAGCAGCATTCATCAGTTCCATGAATAAAATTGTGAGATGGGTCTCAGAAGTACGACTCCTCTATGGGCCTCACAGGATGCATTCTTATGCAAAATAACTCCTGTACAGTACAGTTCATCAACGAAAATACATGATGCCTCCAGGCACGAGAATCACAAAGGAAATTTACAAAAGGAAATGGAACGCTAGGTAAAATGCAAAACTCACCAGGATCAAGGGAAGCTCGTGGTTCGGGGCCACTCCTCGAAAACATGGGATAGAAAAGTTTTGGCCATAGGATCGCGAAACATCCTACAACCAACGCGAGGACACCGATGGTCTTGCCCCGGCCGAATTCCGCACTCACCGACGGTATCATCATGGACTTGCCTTAATCATGCTCGCACCTGCCACATACTACCTCTTGAACGAATACACACATTTTTACATCAAACGGAAACGAAGAATGCAGCAATAATTCGATGCGACATCGAATCTATCAATGGACCAATGCACAGGGTATTCGACCCGAGAAAGTGACTGGCGTCATCACACTCTTCAGGTCTTCCATAGCAATAGCAAAACTTTACCGAAAATCGAAGGGCATTACATTAATTCTAGAACACATGAAGGATTAACAATCGAGTTTTGATAGGCTACACAATTACTCATTTGATATAAAAAATAAAAAAAAACATTTCATCAGCCGTAGCTTAAGACTTGGCATCAAGCATACTCACTTGCTCGAGAGTATTTGAATGCATATATTTTTTATGGATACTTGAATACCTTAATTTATTTCGACTACGAATTGCTGTGCAGGTAAGGCGTTGGTTCAATGTAGAAGATGCCATGAACATTTCTCGAGTCACATTACGATCACCACTTCATCTAGGTTAAATGCTTCCAGCATTAAATGCTGGAATTCTTCCCGCACAGGCCTCAAAATGTGAATCTCAAGATATAATACTTCAGAAGGCAAGGTAACTTTATGAGCACTCTGAATTCAATTTCAGTTTCGGAAATGGCACCAGGCCGAACTTCTGGAGAAACCAGGATATCATTGAAAGAGAGAGAAACGTAATTAAGAAAACCCCCGCACAGAAACACTGGCATTTAAAATACTGAAAATCACTTGTATACTCCGTTACTTTAAATTACGGTTTTCATAAAAATTATCCGTACAGGTCCCCTTTAACGTGGACGATTGAAGTTTTTCGTAGAGCGTCTAAGGCCCAAGAACTAAAAAAAACATTCATGTCGGACGACAGGGTGAAGCTCTGGGCGTGACTGCGTGCGTCGGTTAGGAAGGTCGAATTTTGGCACGCACCCACAAAAACGCGACTTCAAACATAGCACCAGCCAGAGTTGCCAAGTTACACACATTCTGCTCTCGAACTGCTCAGTGTTTTCAGAATATTATGGGCTTCTACACTGTGTAGAAAAAATGCGTGTGTTGACTACACACATTTTTTCTCCTTAAAATAACCTGAAAAACCCAAAACCCTGTTCACCACTACCCCAACAACGATTAATAGTGAACAAGCGGAGAATGAAATTATAATTTTGAAATTATTTATCCAAACTGTTTTCAGAAATTACAGTGGCTAATCGTCTAGGCTTACAATTGAATTTTGGATACCCTAAGTGAAGGTGTGAATTAAGAATTTTAAAGAAAAAGCCGTCATCCGATTATGGAGACGAATACTTCTTTCGAACGGCAACACTGGATACATGTAGAAACGTGGGGAAGGAAGAGTAAGCCCACTTCAATCCAACAATGCACAATAAGAAAGCGATGAGAGTCGACTTCCTCGTTGAGACGGAAGCCACCCTGCTCGAAAGCAAGGCCCATCGGACAAACCATGTTACAACCAATCAACTCTAGCAGAACCCTTCCAGGGTCTTCGCCAATTTCTTCTCATCCTCAAGAACACCCGAAATCAATTTTACAACTCTCAACCGCCGATTAAAAAGCAATCTGTTTCCACCCACGTCTTCCAGTAGCGCCGACATGACATCACGAGGGTTTCACGCTAAAAGCTTACCAATTGACGCAATAACAAGATGGTTCACTGGAATTTCTCATCACAAATTGACCACAGGAGGAAAGCGGAAAGACCTAGAATAATTTCAAGATTATGCGCAGTTCAACTCTTTCCTCATGAGATGAGAGAAAACCCGAGTCATAATATCTTAAAAATTCAAACTGGATTTTTTTTTACGGATTTGGATTGATTTGAAACGTTTTATACTTTCAGAAATCCGGAAGTGATAATCTAATTTTCTATAATAAAACGCTACTTCGTGACTTTATCGACGTGAACGCAGATCCATTGGAAGCTTGAAAAATCTGCTTCATCGTCGTAAAAAAAAAGGCTTTGCGCGAATTAAACGATTTGTCATTTTTGACGGGCTGAAGAGTTGCAAGAAACATAGAACGAAGACCCCAAAAAGTTCGCTTAGTTCTATTTGTAAAAAACCCATTGCAACTTTAGAGGTTTCTGCTTCGCCTTTTTTTTCAGTTTCAGTTCGGTCCGCCAAAATTGAAGGAGGACGGAACAGTCTGTTGGGTGAACTTGTATCCGCCACTTTTCTCGATCTTCTTGCTTTCAGCCGCCGCTTTTCGTTGGTCCGCAAGAACCCCGACTGCCTGGATCGATTCCATCTGTTTCTTTTCTAGCTTCGATGTCAGTGACTCGTACCATCCAGGATCTCTCATAGGCATCACTAAAAAATTGAGCAAATATACTCGTGATATTATCAAGGTTTTTAAAGCTGTTGCATTGTTCTCAATGATTAAAAATGTTGCATAGCATTTTCAGGAGTAGACTTGAAATCATACAAATTTTGAGAAACTAATATTACTGAAAAAAAAAACTCACTGCTCATCACTTCCTTGAAAATGGCAAATTCATCGAGCCCGGTTTCATCGTCATCGATGACGGTCGAGTACATCTCCAGATCGGCGAAATCCTCGTCGGGAGCGTAATCAGAATCGTCATCGTCGTCATCATCATCAGTTTCCAAAGTATCACTGTTCATCTTTCGCCTGGCCAAGACGGGCTTCACAGTCGCATCTAAATGCTCTTCCTCTTCGTCGCTGCCCAGTTCTCCCTTGGAATCAGTGTCTGAGTCTCCTGATTCATCTTCTTCATCAGATCTTTCCGCGGCACGCGCTGGGAAAAAAAGTCTCACGTTCTGAAAACCGATTGTGCAAGCCGCGAATACAGTATTGCATAAAAAAATAATTCCGAGACTCAACGCAGAATTTTGAAATTTCATCTTTGAAAATAAAATTAAGCAGATACACATAAGTAGACGTCCAATTATTCGTGCTTCCGAAGAATCGTACCAAAATTTCGATCGAATTAAAGAGAGAAAATACTGCATCCTCCGCACCTCATAACTCGCTTCAAGATAACTCGCTTTATTTTCTTCTGATTGATTATTTCAAGCGCTTTGAGATTAAAGCAGTAACGATGTCAGCAATAACATTCTATCATTCTTGAAAATTTCTCGCCAATTCGATGAAATTTGAAAAAATGCCATTACCCATGAATCCGTGATACTTCATTATCCAGACGGGGACACTTGGTAATGATAATTAGCTCTGATACGAGTTCTGGAAGTTCCAACTTCCAAAGACAATGTAGTACAGTGTTCTACTTACCCTCATATGCTCGTTTAATGCCATCGAACAGTACGACCAGAGATGGAAGGAAGGCGTCGGCATAATTTGATAAACAAGCTGGACGGGTCTGGGGATCCAAGGACATCATGGCACAGATCCCCAAAATGCTCGTTTTCCGGTCATGAATGCTATAAATGTGTTGATTAATTCGATTAGGTCGGTTTACGACCTTTTTCAGGGACAAACCTACACCACCGATGACCTTCGGGCACGTTACTACTAATGTACAGTAATAGGAAAAAATCTCCCCGATATAATTGTCACGTAAAGGACTCTTCTTGAGTTCAACAGTCGAAGTCTGCATACTGTAATGTATTAGTCATCATGCAATCCAAGCACACAAATTGACTCGCTTCTGCTGCATATACATAGTAGTCCGGAAATATTAATATCATAGCTTCACATTTTTCTTCATACAGAATCTAATTTTTCAATGTACTGCACCGTATATTCGCAAGAAAACATTGTCCAGTGATGAAAAATGGAATGATTGCTCCAAATCATTGTTTGGTAGTTATACAGTATCACGAAATACATTCGACTTAGATCGTAAATGCTAAAAATACCCAAAAAAGCTCCGCAGCCGCAAGCCAAAACTATCGGTTATATTTTTAAAAGACAGAGCTTTTTTTTCGTCAGGAGACAGAATTCTAGACATCAGATGCTTCAGAAGCGACGAAAATACAGCAGCACAGACACGAAAGGAGATCCAGCCATAAACAAAAAATAATCTGGGTGCGTCTCACAGCAAGAAGTTAACGAGAAGTCGAACTCTGTGCGTTCTTCCATTGTGGTTCTTATTACCATTTCAAATGCGGAAGGGCTGGGAAGTGTCATAGCTCACCCTAAAAAGCAATCTATATCGTGCATCCACTGTGCGATGAATTTCTCCAGCGCATATCCAGCTGGTACAACATTCGACGGCGGAGGGAGACGCACGTTCAGCAATACATCTCCGAGAACCCAGACAGGATTGTATAATATCGCCGCAATTACCACCTAATCGTTAGAAATGAATAATAAAAATAATCAACAAATTTACAGAAATAACTCACTTGAATGCACATCGTTCGCAATTCCGATGTGACGATTTCCTGGCACATAAGCCGACTCAATGCAAGTTCCACAAAAACGGGAACACACTGAAAACAAAAGTATTCATCAATGTCAGTTCTTTTCGAAATCCTGTCACGATTAAATTTCACCGTATATTGGATTTACGAGTACGTCATTCTTCTTTGTCTCTTCAAAAATTGTCATGACGAATTTTAACTAGACATCAATAACCTCATGGTCAGCTGAGATTGAAAACACGTACAGTATTTCTAATTTGATAAGACAAGAAAATGCCCTCCTTCACTCACCGCATCAATGCGCCCTTTGCAATTCAGCAAGATTATTTCTAGAAGCTTAGCAGCATGACACTCCATGTCTTCGCCCTGGTTCGACGTAAGTATCTAAAAAGCATTTGCAATCGTCACGTGTTTCGCTCAATACAATCATCAAAGTCTGCAAAAGAGTAACACTACATACCTTCTTACAAATGTTGAATAATGCTAAAACACGGTCGTTGTTCGCTAAGAAACCGTCAGTGTTGACGGTAATGAAATGATACAATGCCGTCATCATTTCCTCAAAATAGTCGCTCCCATCTCGCTCGAAGACTTGATATATCATCTCAAAAAGCTTCCAGCAATCTTCACTCACTCGTTCCGTCGTAAGTGTTCCCGCGAGTGTAAACGCTTCTTCGTATAAATCTAAGGAAAAAGGATTTTTTCACTCGAGGGATGCACGCCAGAAGAGATCTCAAAAGCGCAAAAGAGGAAGTTTTAAGATACAGTAAGAAGGCTCAATTTGATTCGTTACGTTGGGAAGTAAGGTTAGGTCATCAGCACAATCGGTCTTTCGAGACTTGCTCTTTCGCGGAATCATCAATTTCTGTAACTCGATAACAAAAATACATATCACATACAAAAGCAATAACGCAATTAAAATCTTAGTTGGAAAGCAGCTGGTACAATACACGCATTTCTATCATTTTAGAATACAGTACAGCAAGCTTTAGCTGAGCCCCCAATGTTTCACAATAAGTGGTACTGACCTAAAATACTGTTCGAGAAAATGTGCGAAATCACGTTCAACAGAATGGGCTCAATCGTAGCCATGATTTCTGGTTCTTCCTCGAACACTTCAGCAATGTCGTCCATCGTTGTAATAATACCCATAGCCGCGATAGCGTTCTCGTCGCTTTTATCATACGCCAATGACTCATCATCCGTAGATTTTGTTCCTACTAGTTCAATGAAGGTTTGCGCCTGGTTTTGAGAATATATTTAAAGCACAGCATCAGTTCACTCGCATCAATAAATCTGGTCACAAATTGTAACTCAGACAAGCAATTCAAACAAAGGGCTAAAACACTCACCAAGTGGTTGATAATCTGCGAGACTATTGGACCCAGCTGCTTGCTATAAACTCGAACTATATGCTGTAAAACATTGGTGAGTTCATCGTTCTTCGTTTCTCGCATAACTTTCAGTATTTCCATTACAATTTCTTGAATCTGCAATACATTCAAAAAAAGGCATCAGTTACAAAAGCGAAAATAAAAAAAGACACGAATACATTACATCGCGACGCGACAAACATTCATGAGGTTTCTGAGAAGCCACACTTTTTTTTAAATCATCGCGAGCCAAGAATTTGAGCAAGATACACACTTATCAGATATCTTACGTTTGAAGATAGATTTCTGGAAAAATATTGATTTCGAATTATGCATATGTCAGATCCGCATTGTGAAAAAGTGCATACAAGAAAACTTCGAATTAATCCCTTTTCTAAAAAAATATTTCACACTTTCGTTTGGATTCTTTGGTATGAGTTCAAACGTTTTTTACGTCTGAGCAATCAGATCCGGGGAAAATAATGTTTTTACTCATTTTAACGTAGAACGACACGCTGACACTAGGGAAAATATTGAGAAAAATTACCTGCGGTTCCAATAATCGCATGCCTTCATCGTGATTTGAGAGAATTTCTTGTATTGCCATTGCACTTTCCACTTTCACTGGTAGTTCTGGATCGGACAGCAAGGATCGCAGAATCAACAGCACGATTCGCTTGAGATTTTCTCCATTGTCACTTTTGAAAGGCAGGGAAGCGAATCTTTGCACAACCCAATTGGCTCTGGCTCTCAACAGTCCACAAGGACTATCAAAAGCTGGGATGAGATTAGCAACTAGCAGAGCTTCCAGTTGGCTCTTGTACGGCTCTTTCTTCATCAAAGTTTTCGAAACTGCACCAACCTGAAATCATACAAAATAATTATTGACTCGATAGAAGCTCTTCGGAATCAGATGTTTTAGTGTATTGCTGAAGTCAGATACTCGCGAGGGTTTCTAAAACCCCAAGCAGTTATCACCGTGAGCTGACATGACTGAGCCTCATTTCACATACAAAAGCTAAAAACCAACAGGCGGAACTAACGTGGCCGAGACATACAGAAAAGTACCGGGCTCAGAATTTTGGGTCACACCAGAAAAATCAAACTCGTTATACGTTGATGAAATATATCACGTTACCATATGCAATGCGCCATCCTTGGTATTGAAAGCTGCACCAGGATCCGTCAATACTTTCGACGCCAGAAACATGGCCTTGTCCAAGAAATCTTTCCGAAGCTTGCAGCCTTTTTCCAAAAACGTAGTCGCCGCAAGCTCAGCAGACATCAATCCCTCCAAAACATCTAGATACAAGATACGTTACAAGATACAGTAATTCCAAAAATGCCTTTTAAAACTCTTACCATATTTCTGCTTGATGAGCTCAATGGGGTCTTCTTTCATCGTTCTCTCATCCTTCTCCGAGAAACACATGATCGGAAAGATTGTTTTTTCTAATAGACTCGGGATGTGTGGTTTTAGCATCTTATAGCAAGTTGGACTCATAAGTCTAGAAATACATTTGAAACGGGAGAGAGAATTTTAATGCTTAAGAAACCAAAATCTGAAAAAATAATGACATACGCAATTGTGAGGTAGTTAAGAACGCCTTGCAGAACTCGCTGAGAAACGTAGATTTTCATACTGTGGGCTTCCAGGAACTTGAAGAGAACTTGGATGACGGTTGGGGGAAAGGTCTTGATATGCCATGAGGCAATGTGGTTGTACTCTTTGCTGCACTTCTTCGGCAAGCCATACCTTTTGAAAGGCGAACAACAAAGAAATCATATTAAATCACCATCAATGCTCCTGAAATTCGTCCCATTCCCAGTTAAAACCGTTTCGCGGAAATTCCCGTTCGAAATAAAATGACATGAACGCTCAAAAACTAGTGCGGTAATTCGAACGAAAATTTTTAATTATTTGCGTGCTTTGAAGTTCAACTAACCGCTCAAATACTCGAACTAGAATGTGGAGACACCACTTCCTGATCTTCCACGAGGGTAGTTCTGCACGCTCATCATCGTCATCATCATCGTCTTCACCGTCTCCAGCACCATGTAATTTCCCATTCGCTGTAGCTTCCGGTGGCAGGTCACTTTGAAGAATTTTTAGAGCCAGTTCCATCCACCGCGTCAATTCAGGAATGGTCACGACGGCAACAGGCAAAGAGAACTGAACGAAGAAGCCAAACCATCAACTATTAAAACAATTTCAGCCACGAACAAATTACTTTGTTGAAATACCTCGATCAGCGAATGAAATATTTTTAGAATCTGCTTCTGAATCAGGACTATGTCTTGGTTGAGGCTTTGGGCTTGAAGTTCCACGCATCGCTGGAAAAGCAATGGCAGCAATCGCTTCATGCCATCAAGGAAGGGTTTCCGTTCATCCCCTCGTTTGAACCTAAGCGCAAGTTTTCGGCTACATATAACCTTCCAAGCACAACTCTACATGATAAGGTCATTCTGAAAAAATACTCACTCAAATCCTTTGCAAAGTTGATAAAGAGCCAATAGAGTTCCCGGCCAAAAAGACACATCAGGATTCTCCAGATAAACTCCTATTTTGTCCACAATATCAGGCCACTTCCCAGGGAAGTCGAAACGAATGATGGTGTGAAAGCACATCGCTAGCTGCGTTCTACACGATGTATGATATTTAAAACGCTTTCACTTCAGTGATTCAAAAAAATCAATCCACCTGATGACTTCTGGTGATGCAGCGATTGCTTCGATCAACGAATTTCTGATCAGCCCCTTGTCCTGCTCATGAATTGAGTACTCAACCGGCTCGCCGGGTTTTGCTTCATCTTCACTTGGAGGGGGCCAATGCCTCCCAATTTCATTTTTAAGGTAAACGGCGCCTGAAATCGCGGATCGAGAGATCAAGTATCCGGTTAGCAGATTTTTAACTTTTCCACTCACCAGCTTGACGAACAGGCAAAGGAACATCAGCTAACATAACGATTTTGAGCAATTCAGGTGCGAAGCCGATAATCTTATGTACCTACAAACACAACAACAAATGATATAGGTAAGATCACCTTTCAGCCAAGAAGAACATGACTCACCTGTTCGAGATGTTCATTGGCTTGCTTGTTTTGGACAGGATCAAGAGTAGCCTTCAATACCTCCACGAACTTCAACTGGTCCATTGCATCAGCGGTATCCACCGACGGACTAACAAAACACACAGAGAAAGAGAGCACTACCATCAAGACAATTATCCAACATTTTGCTACAGAATGCGTATCGACACGCGCTGAAATAATCTCTCCACACAAAACATGGTCCGTCGATCGGCCCGGCAACGACAAAACCCTCAGATAATGAACTATCGCTGCAGTTCGGGCGACACATTCAGCGTAGCTCTGTACAGTAGCAAGACGCGAATTCCATTAGGCGTCCTCACATCGTAACCAGAAGCTCAACAATCGCAAGATTTCCTCCACAGTAGGAACGTCACAACTCGCATCTTCCGAAATTGTATCATGTGCGGAGACATCACTATCGGCAATATGTAAGTGATATTGAATACGCATAGAGCAGAACAATTAACGGCACAACGCACAAGCCGCCGGTAATCCCATGGCCTCAATGAAGGTATGCTGCAGCAGAAAGTTTTATTCTAACTTGCCTAAGGTTCCCATTCTCAAACTTATCTCATTTCATTTTAGCATGGGTATCTCTGTGATAGTAGCCCTTCTCATACTATTGAGTGCATTCCATTCGGGAAATTCACAGGAATACATTGAACCGGATCCCAAAAACCTACACCGTACAGAAAGCAGCTTCGAACTGTTACCAAATTTGTATATCAAAATATCGCCTGAGAATATCTTCATGAGTTTTGTGCAACTCAAAAAATCAGTTCAAGTAAGATTCATTCCACACTGTTTTCGGTTCCAATCAAAAGATTACGGTATTTTATTTCGCAGAATATATTGCGCTTATTTTCGAACGTGGATTTTCCGGAAAATCGCTGTGATGATCATTTTAATCGAGTAACGTCTATGTCGACCACCGTGGAGGTTCCAAGAAGATTTGTAAATGACCTGGTTCACCTGGGAATTTTTTCGGAGGAGCATGATCCAGCTGACATGGTAATCAACTGAAAATAACGTGAAGCTCGTGAATGCGTATCAGCAGCATTTCCATAAGTGCTTAAAACGTCATGATTTCTTGCTTATTATTTTTTGATGTACAGTGCATTAATTCATATACAGTATGTATTGATCGAGGTTCTTCATTTTTCTTGGTACAGTATAATGAAATTTGTAAAATAGGTGAGCATTTTTATCGGACTAGGTCACGTACGAGTTATACGACCGCATGATAGGGTATAAACCTTTAATTTCACAAATAATGTTCGTCAGCAGATTCAGCATAGTACTGTCGGATGGGCCGTATCTAATATTTCTCGAAATAATTTCCAGCAGAGAAACTTCCGCGCGAATAATTACAGAGGACCTGAAATCGAAATATTTGGCAGTGCTTCTTCAACTTCAAATATCATCGGTGGCCTGATGTCCGTTCAGCATGGGTCATGTGGTGTAAAAGGACATCGAATTTACGTGACTGAGGATTATCTGAAAAAAGACTTTGGTGAGCACATCCTTCTCTACGCTGTATATACTGCCAATTCAAATACAGTTGAACGGCTTGCATTTTGATAGCTCAAACCTCAAGGTCAAATACTTTCATACGTCTACAGTATTTTTTTTTACGCTTGAATTTGCTTGTAGACACAATGCATCAAAATCCTCCCCAGCATAACTCGAAGGCCCTCCTTATTATTCCTCCCTGGAAGATTTATACAGTATATAGTATTCCGTCCTCATATTTGCGGTTTTCCCATGTATCAAGATGTGGATGAAGTACTGGGTGTTTGGGCAATGGTCAATTATGGGATATTCCCACAAAGGGGATGTCCTGGTGATCGGGAGTTCCCTGAAAATTTGCATGCGATCATGGCGACCAACGGCTCTTATCTCGAAGTTCAAAAGATCCCTGAACCTTGCGACATGGAAGGGTATATCAATCGTGTATAATTTCGGGTGCAGCAGTTTTTGCTGGCTTTACAGTGACACCTGGGTAATTATTTCAGAGACGAGGCTCCCGTGACTTGTTTCAACCGTCGTTCGGTAACAGCAACGCACCCGGTGAGTGCGAAGTATAACAGCCGAGCTGTAATGTATTTTATGCGGTTTAAATGAGGGCTGTCCGGGCTGTCCCACATTCTGTGCAAAACTGTAACGGCAGACCCATAAAGGTCGACTCTGTGTATAACAACAAGAGTGGGGAAATTGGTGCACTTCGAGGATATGATTGTAATTCTACACAGTGACCCTGCTGTACACCTGCATGAAGTGTACCAAAGTTTTACTGTTGCACATGCATATACCTAATGTGCACAAACTGGTGTTCACACGAGGATTACTCATCAGGGTCACATTTGTAAACAAAAAAGTTACACCAAGGTTACAGTTGGTGCATTTGTGTGTTATTCCTGTTATGTCACATTTGTGCACCAAATGTAGCCCAGGAATGGTAGCAAAACTTTGTCTACAGAGGTGCATGCTTGTAACCCCAGAATAGCCCATGCAAACCAATTGTGACCCCAGAGTGTGCCATTTGTGGGGTCACACAAACAATAGCTCCCTGGAATCTTTTCTTCAACAATATTTTCTTCATAACACATTTTATTTGCTCCCAAGTACAATATAGGGTTCTTTCCCATGTTATTTGGGTTCTCGGCAACAAAATTCTCTCTCTAAAAATAGTTTTTTTGGTCTTCTACTTATAGTTGTAGAGAGAGTCCACCTGTATCTGAGGCATATTGTGTAGATCTGCGGGTTTTTTTCGACAAAACGAAAAAAATGAAGTGCAGTATAAAATTCAATATATATGTAAAGATTCTTGCATTAAATTTCAGCATTACCGTATTCGGGTACACCAGTACTGCACAATATTTGCCAATCATATTGAAACAATCATCATAAAACAATGTGTTATATTAGGCAGAGGCCATTCTATAGCCTTTTCGTCTATATTTTTTTCATCTCGATCAAGCTAAGAAAAGAAAAAGACTCTACTGGCTGACAGAGTGCTGAAATAAAAAATATAATTGAGTTTGACGAGAGCTCACCCCGTAAATTTGGACGATACAGCATGCATTTTTCCATCCAACTCCAACATTGTGCTTGGAAAAATAAATTCAGAAACAAAATTTTGCTTGCCGTCTGTGATAATATTCTGTTATGACAATAGAATAATCTGTGGAGATCTCTTCTTCTGTGGTGATTAGTTGAAAGAAACAATCGTTCGCTTTTTCTCCGGCGAATTTTGTTCTATTTGGCTTGACAGCTATTTCTGATTTAAGGCCAGAAAAAATTGCATTTAAAGCATTTTAAAGTCTCGATTTAAGGCAATCAGATAACAGTGTATTACTATGGTGAATTATTTTGAAATTATTCCCGGAAATTCGAGATTTCTCCCGTAAATGTAGAAATAAAACACAAAAGTAATCACGTATCCTCGCATTATTTGAAACTTTTAATCGCCTTTACAGGCAGGAGATGAAGGAGTCAGTGACCAGATTTCTTTTGACAAAAACAAACGTTTCATGCGACTGTACTCGGAAGCGACGATGCCACGTTACCGGAAGTCGCCGCAATCCGTGCGTTGCTCATGGCTCAGCGCATGGGACGTTGCGCAACGCATGAAGGCAATTCCTCACACGTACGTGTGTACAGTACAGTACTGTATTATTGTAAAAATAAACATTCTTTCCTTGAAATCCGATGTGAATTTCATCAGTAAAAATTCGATTCGTTAATCTGGATCGATTGACGTCACGATGCCAAAGACAGCTGTTTTAAATGAGTGAAATCCCGCCTATATATCAATGGAACTTTCGCGCAACAAGCTCTCTTTAAAATTTTTCCTCGTTTAATTTTGAATACCGTGTTTACGCTTGTTGCGCAGCATTTGTCAATGTGTGCTAGAAATGAAATCAGAGAAGCCGTGTTAAAAGTTTGAAACGTCGTGCAAAATTGCATCAGAAGTAATTGAGAACCTGCATGCTAGCTGAGCATCATCTTTGGTCATGCCCGCCGAAAAGTTTCGAGTAGTTCTTGGAATGAAAGGTAATTCATTATCATGCACAGTGAATTTTAGAGGATTTGCTTCCTTCAAATTTTCACGAAAATAGGAGCAAAAGTTGTCTCGAAAAAATTAGCCGGAAGACGGAGCAAAAACTTCAGATCGATCATCAACTTGAACAAAAAACTCAGAAACCTCAGTGAGGCGGGGTCTAAATTGGACGATCTATACTTGTATAGTATTTTGAAGACATTCTGAGTAAGTTCAATGCATAACAGTAAAAAGTGTTACTCTTCATAGATTATAAAAAAGAAAAAAATATATGTGTAAATATTTTTTATTCCTTGAGATTTTTTCCAAAACCGATTCCAGTATATTAATGAACTCTAATACTGCTCAATTTAAGCTGAGGCCACTGCTCTGTTTTCAAAGAACCTATTAATTTGTGTATAGGATGGATGGAAACATGAAAACGCCGAGTATAATGGTGTAACCAATCTAAATGCCACCTTATTTACTTGCATAACAAAAGCATCTTTTCCAAATTCAAGATGAACGAAGAAGGGTGTGAAGCATCAGGTGCTGGTATGAAGGAACATTAATTTTAAATTTATTTTCGTATACATATTTGCTTTCAACGAATTAAGAATTATCCAGAGCCCCATGCAAAAATTCTTGAAATATACAATATTCCCAGAGCAATAATATCTCGGGACAGACGAATGCAATTTAAAATGCTAATGTATATTTCGTTGAGTAACTTACTGCATGCACGCCCTTTCCTCATTCGGTGACGTTTGCTGCCACTTTTATGGCTGTTGCATAATAAATTTCTGTTTCCCTGTACAACATTGCAGTCGCATTAAAACGCGTGACACGTGCAGTGAATGAATGTCCTTTGATACATCATTCCGCCCACACAGACGGGAAGCAGGACCTAGTTCGCCGTCAAGTGAAACGCGGAAAAAGGTCGCATCGGGGAGTCGACTTCCGCACGATGAGCAATTTCCGGACGTAAAATGGATCATTTCTCCCGTGAGTTTCCTTCACTTCCACAAAATGTGTCCGACGTTTTTGATTGCTGCTCGTAAATCAGAGCCAGATATATTGTATATGTGGAAGGTTTTGCGCCTTCATAGTAGCAATTTTTTTTCCTGTTTTTTTTTTTCAAAAATCGGCCGCTATTTTTGGCCTCACTCTCTCGCAAATAACCTTCAAAAATAGACGAACAGTCAAACTGCTTTCCTTTTTTCGGATAGAAAAATATCTCGTATACTCGTAAAAAATGTTTGACCAGTATTGGCATAATCTCTAAACCAGAGATTTTTTAGTTGTGCAGAAAAGACGCTTTCAAATAAAGAAAACTTGATAAGTCTTCATATTACCCACAAGATAGTAATTATCATTTTGCATGTCGCATTCATGCTCGATCAAAAATGATTTTTTTTTCCAGATGATAAGGAGTATTCGTAGCAGAAAAGGGATAACAGTAACTACACATGGATTGAGCGGAAAGACACAAAAAATAGATGGTCCATTATATTGATTGACTGAAGAACAAAGGAGAAATTATGTATTGTAATATGTGCGACATCAATCACGAAAATACAGTATTCGAATTGAATCCCACTCTTGGCCCAAAATAGGTAGTCCATCATCCATGTGCAAAATGTAGTAAGCAATTTATTACGATTTGACCTCGGAAGCACGGAACTCACCCATATCGACACGGATTATAATACAGTAATATATGTACTCTATTAATAATCACACGTGACACAATTTCACTCCCACTTGACATTCGCTTGATGGAAAATCACGCAACGCTTATTTGATCAACTTCATTGCCCAGCTCGAGTTGTTCCCTGAATAATGAACTGCTTATTGAATTTAATTCTTAAGTACAGTACAATACATTTGACAAAAAAGGAAAACAGTAATAATGTATGTTCGCAGGATGGAGAGGCTGATAGCAAAAGCTTTCGATTCACTCCAAGCGGCCCATCAATTGAGGTCTGGACAGACGTCATCATTCCGCGGTTTCCTGGGCAAATCGGCATTGGCGTTTACGCACTTGTTTCCTGGGATGGCCCAATTTCGCCCAACATTGAAATAAGGTAATATCCATGAACGATTCCTGGGTTTTAATGAAAAAAACAAATTTAAAAATCAATTTCGAACCAAAAATGAAAAAGAAAATTCCAGCAACAAAACTTTATTTTTATTACCAAATTTATTTGAGTATCGTGCACCCCCAAGAAAGACGAACAGCTGAAAATGTTTAGCCTATAATTGAGAGAAAAAAACTTATTCATCCCGAGTAAGACTATTTTTGCGACTTGAAATTTTCAATATTGAAGAAAATGAAATCTACCAAAATGCGAATATTGACTTGAATCGAAACTTAATGCAATCGCTTTCACTTGAATTAAGTGTCTTAAATACTGTTGTTTCAACTTGTTCTAACATTTTCCGCGATTGATTCAAGCATGAGGCACACCTAAACTTCAAAAAATGCGACAAGCGGTATACAGTACTGTACCTCCATATATGGCCTAAAAAGTTTGCAAATTGTGCAAGTAAATGCGATATTTTATTGGGCGCTTATACTTTACCGTATTTTTAAAGCATTTTTATCTCTCGCATGTTCGTTTGAAAAGTAGCTCTGGTTTCAACTCAAATGAAGAAGCATTAATCTGTACTGTGCTTGAAAAATACCCCCAAAACATACCCTTCTAATTGTGAATTCACCCCATTGGGATTTCCGAGGCTTTTGCTCTATTGTGATCCCAAAGTATTTTTATGGGTAGAGCTGCGTATGCAGACTCCCCCGGTATTTCTTATGTGTCTCTCTCTCTGTTCTGTTTCCCTTCTAGAAAGAGGCTTCCATAAACTGTGCATCGTCACGAGTTCAGCAATGGAGGTCATGTCCTCCTGCAAGAATACGCGTGTGTATATATTCTTTCTTTGGCCAGCGAAGCTGACCACCGCGGTTGCTTAACTCAGTGTGTCTCTCTATCCTTGCTAGCATTCGTGCCCGAGCACTCGCGACTGGTTGTTGTTGTGCGCTGTCAATAAAAGCTTATTGCCTCTCTACGAATCCTGGTTGCTATTTTATTTCGAACTAGCTAAAAATCCTTTAGCCCGCAAAGT